GTGTTAAATCACGACCACATGTTGTGACTTAGAAATTTGTCCATTTTCATCAGTTGGTTTTTCTGTAATTTACATTATAAAAATTGAATTGCTAGATACTTCTTACAGGTACAAATACGATGTTAGAAAATGCTGAATTCATTTGTCTGTCTTCGCAGACACAAGAGATGATGCAGAAACATCTTGAGAGAAAGTCGAAGGAAGGTGAAGAAATGAGGTTGGTATGCCTGTGTTTACCTTTGTTTCCTCTTCTCGGAACAAATTTTGTCCGAGCAAATTTCGTGGTAAGTGCGTTATTTATATATTGTGCTTTTACATTTATCGTCCTTTTCTTGGTTAGGAAACTCGTCGAGCAAACCACGATGGAACATGAAAATACTAAAGAGGCCCGCAGAAAACTTCAAGAATACAACCAAAAACTGGGTAAGGTGTTAATGGAATCTTTGAGAAGAATGGCCCATAACCTCTAGTGGTTTATCTTATCTGTAACTAAGACAAAACAAGTTGATAAATCATATTTCGGTATAATTTCGATGGCAGGTATTTTCCAATATTAAGTGTTCACTTTCTATTTTTTTCGTGGTTTTAGTTCAAGACGTCAGCAAGGAGAGTCAAGAACTTATGCGTAAAGCTTTGGAAGAAGTGAGTTGTATTTGCGTTACAAATCGAGAATTTGTTTTTGCGGTTTTTTTCTTTCTTTCTTTCTTTCTTTCTTTTGCTGGCACTGGTATTAGTTTCTCCTTGACATTTACGGCAACTGAAAACGGCTAAAAAGATTCTGAATTTTCTTTTTCTTTGCGCAATCCTTGAATCAACGCTGGAGAGAAATGGCGAAGAATCTCTTGTTCACAGCCACTGCAAATAATTCAAATTAAGTGCAAAAATGGCGGAATTCAGACGGCAAGAAGTTCAATTTTTGCCGTTTGCCAGTTGTTAAAAACACCTTTGTACTTTCTAAAAAAGACGGAATTTATCATGATTGACTAAATGGGTTATTTACTCGATAACAAATGATATTTGTATCCCACAGGCTGAAGAAGAAATGAGACAGAGAGTTGCGCTGATTGCAAAAATACGAGCCATAGAGAGTGTACCAGTCATTCGATTTAAGGTATGCCTTGTGTTTCTTGTCCGTTGTCTGCAGTCCTGATGACTCTGTCTCTGGCTTTACCTCGAGTTAAACGCAGGAGAAAAAATAAATCACCTCTTCGAGGTGTTTAGATAACCAACTTGCAGTTTTAAATCCCACAAGTAGCGTTGTTACTGGCGAGGCAATTATCGAAGAATAAAACAAAATCCCTAGCAAAACTTTGTATCCATGTTCTTGGAGACTTTCTATTCAGCAGCATTGTGTCATTTGCAGAATTTATCCAGCATTAAGGTTAAACTTTTTGGGCAGTTTTCTTCAGAATTTTTTTCATAAAGAACCTCTTCATAGATATATTGCGGTTTAAACTTAATATTCATTTTTTCCGCTTTTTTGGTTTTTTGTCTTATGCAGCACGTGGATCTCACAGAAACTTCAGGAGCTGGCCTCCTCAGTGAAATGTCTGTAGCAGAGGTATGGTCGACTTTGAACCACTTTATGTCATCGTTTGTAAGAGGCCGGTAGGCCTTTGGTTGTCGTATTCTGAAAATAACCTGAGAAATCATTTATGATCAACTGCAAGGAATGTTAATTTACCCTTTTAAAGTGCATTATTTATATAAATTTCCAGCCATTAGTTTTTACAAACGATTTTGGCAGCAAACTACTATTTTCCATCTGGGGAAATACGTGTAGCAACATTTCTTACAGCTTCATTTCTTGTATGATGTGCGAGAGGTTCGTTTTAGTAAATAGATAATGACCCAATCATACGTTAGAGTAGCGAAACCCTCTGAAGCACCCTGTGTTTCAACTTTTCACTCCTCAATAAAGCAGCCCTGTTATGAATGGCGATTCATTTTTTTCCCCTCAGCTTCGTGAGAGGTTGGCGTTACTTAAAATTGCCGAGAAAGAGGCGGAGGAGGAGAAAAGGGACAATATATTGAAGTCCAAAGTGGTGAGTACCAAAAACGAGCCAAACAGGTCATTAAACCACTTTCAGATGAGGCTCGTAAATCTTCAGAATACCCGAGCTGTCTTCGAAACTCTTGGTATACTCGGATCGTCCTTGACGAAAAAAAGTACAACAGAAATAGAGTGAAACTTCAGTAGTTTTGTCCTTTTTATTGTTATATGTAGCACAAGCCTTATATATCTCGAGGAGGGTTCCAATTGCTATTATTATGGAATTCAACGGGAGGTTCACTTTATTTTTAAGGGTTTGTTCTAAGAGATTGAAGTTATAGTCCTTTGTTTGTGATTTGATCCAAGGCTTCGTTAAAATATTTGTACTTGTACTTGGTTTAAGTATTATTATAATTTTTTTTTTAGGAAAAAGACCAGTTCCTTATGGACACTTTAGAAACCATCGCCAAGCACCGAGCTGAGATAGGAAACGAAGCAGCCGTGCAGTGAGTGACTCTTCATTTCTATACGAGTTGTACTGCAGTGAGCGTCATTTTGAGGTAAGCTGACCGTTTTCCCTTTTTGTGACTTAGGCTGGAAGCAAAGAAGCGACAAAAGAAACCCGAAGTGAAGGATCCCAAGCTAAAAGAATTACAAGAACGATTGGAGGCCAGGAAAGCAGGTTTGTTCAAACTCCAGTAGTTTTTTGTCCTATTTTTGCTGTCCAGCATGTGGTCAAATCACTTCAATTATGGACCCATCTACAAAAATTGTTTCAGACGATTGTAAACACTTGTGAGTTGACTCACTCGTAGATTATTCACATCTGATCCCTCGTCCTAATGATCATCAATATGATCACTGGCTTTGGCGAGATAAAAAATGCGCGTTGTAAATCTGATTCTGAAGCTTAATGCAGACATAAGCTTGGATTTACCTTAAATGAAGTTTGGATGTGCCAAAATTTGACACTTATATAGTATTGAGGTACTGGATCCCTTGTTCGATGTATTGTCTCAATTATATTCCTTAATTTTGCCTGTTCTCACACCTAAATCTTGGTGAGTACAAGCAAAGGCCTTTCCAATGTACTCGTCAATTTGCCTCTTTCCATTTTCCATCAAAATTACTTTATATTTGATTGTTTAAAACAGAACGCAAGAAAGAAAGCGAACGTCTAGCGGTGGTTCCGAAGAAGAGCTCAGCACGAAGACAAAAGGCTCTACAGGAAGAGAAGGTTGGTAACTAACAAACAGTTAGGGTTATTTTTATTTGTGTAAAGGACTGTCACGTTATTTTTACTTGTTAAGGAAGGTAATTAAAATGGATACCACTGGTCGATGCAGTTGAGAATCAGGAGAAGATAGTATCTTGACTTCTCCAAATTTCAGTTTAGAGCTGTTCAGTTCATATTTCGTTAGTGGAAAATGATCGATTAGTTTGCATCAATTTCACATGAGGACTGTATTCTTTCAGGCGGCACTGGAGAAGATGAGGTGGAAAGAACTTGAACAAACACGAGAAAAAGCAGCTAAGCTTCGAGGTGAAGGCTTAGCGAGTAGGAATTCGGCGGGTGTACGGCCAGTAACAACCCTAAGGTGAGAAAATAAGAGAGATCAATGAATAAAGCAGTATAGAGCAGTTTTCAGTTTAGTGTCAAAAACCAAGACCAAAGTAATCCCGGTGACCAATCATAACAAAGATTTACATTATCATTGGCCAATGAGAACTCAAAATGAAATAGGCAAACTGCGTGAAGCGCGGGAAAACGCAAATGATCAAGTGGCGGTTGTTCATAGTTTTGCATCCGATTGGTTGAGAGTATGGCGCGAGTTCTCTGGGCCAATCACAAAGCAAAGTTAGAAAAAACAAAAGCAATCCTGAATTACTTTCGAAACTCAATTCAAAATTTCTTAGTCCTCGCTGGTAGCGGGAAACATTATTTCGAAAGTCCTCGAAAAGGTCATGAAATATCATATCACGCAAGGTTAATTAGTTTTCAGAATACGAATCCTGTTTAATTACTGCATATGAAACAGCTTCGCTCGGTTTAATTCTTTGCAGATGAGCAGTTATGTAAAATAACTAAGTATATATTTTTTGCTTTTTTTTTTTTTCAGAAATCAAAGGACCACAACAAAGGTTGCAACCTAGATAAAACAGTTTTAAATTATATAAGTTACGTATATTGATGTTTGCCTGTCTCCAGAAAGTCACACAATAATAAAAATTTACGTTGGTTGAAACTAAAGATCTACAGTTCCCTTATTTCAATTTTTTTTGTTTATTGTTAATGTAGATATGTAGATTCTCCTTCATTTAATTCTGCGCATTACGAGTTATACTTTAATAATTAATTAACCTTTCACAAAGGCTGCCTCGTGGAGATCCTTTTTCCCAGCCATTTTGAGATCGAATGACGCATGGATGGTTACATGATCAAATTACTCAATCGGAAGTCGAAATCGTTGTGTTTATTAGATGAAATACTATTTCAAGTAATTTACTGTCGTTAATTAAATTTTGTTTGTAATTTTTTTGGTCATTTTTATCAATACATTGGTTTTGTTTTGCGGGATACAAGATGACTAACCCTTGTTGGAAAGCATTATAAGTCTGATAACGATGTCACTTTGCTGAGTTTATCCTGCCTTTGAAGAAACTGAGAAAATAAAATTTCTCCTGTTATGGAGGTTAATAAGTTTCCTTATTCTCTAAGACACCTGCCATCAATGTCATTTTCAAACTTTGGACTAACAGGAAAAAAAGCAGCGGCCTAATTTGGTCGGAGACTTTTGAGCAGGTAGTTGAATAAATAGATATCTAGAACGACAGAGTCCTGTTAGCAAACGGGCTTTCTGATGACGCAGTCTCCTTCAAACTATTTTTAATTTCTGGCAAAAATGAAATGCAAAAGATCGGATGTCACTCCACTTAGCTTGAGGTTTTCATTTTCGGAAAGTTACTGGCTGATGCTGAGATTTTTTTGCGTCCTGCACTCAGCGACATGAAGAAGTTTTTCATGCTATTAAGTGTAATTATTACCATTCCTGACATCGCTGTTTTGAAAGGTAATTTTTTTTTGCTTTATTTTTCCTAAGGAATAACGGTTTATTGAAACACCGAGCTATCGACCGACGCCACAAATTCTGCTCTTTATAGAGTGAATTTTCAAAATAGCTTCAATTGTAAATGACGTTTTAAAATTCAGTGGCATTATATATTTGCAATTTATACACAAATTTCAATACATCACTTGCGATTTTTACGTGAGTTACAGAAAACGTATCAGCCGATAGCGTTAAATTTACCGTATATCAAGCAAACGCTCACTAAAGGCACAATACAAAAATCAAATTTAAGTGTACGCTTATTTTGAATGTGGCTGAAAGTATGTGCTAGAATTGGACCGATTTACTTCGTAATTATAGTAATTAGATATATGTAGCTTACAGAAGACTGTTAAATTAACAGTATTTAGAAAAATATGCCAGTGGTTGTTGTAGCTCCTGCTATTTCCGCTCTTTAGTTAGTGAATTATTCCGGTTCCCTTGTTTTAGTTCTCATGGTGTTTATTCGTGATACACTTTGGACCGACATACTTGTTGTATATGTTTCGCTTTCAATGTCTTTCGTAGCCGGAATTAAGACCTCATAAATTTGTTCAACGCAATATGTTTTCCTTAGTGATGCCGTGAACACTGCCTCCGAAACAACCAGTGATATTGAAACTTACCACGACGAAAATAGATCTTCATAGGTAGAGAATATTTGGTTTCTACTTATAGCTATTGAGAATTTTAATAAATCCAACTCCACTACGGAGAAATTTCACCCAACCTGGACTTTTTGACCGAAATTGTTTAGCAGGGGTATGATAAAACAACAGCCGTACAAATGCTTTTAATTTGAATTAACCCCCCCCCTACACCCTGACATCAGCATCCATATTCTCCATAATGCTCGCTATACATTTCCTAAGATGCTGACAAGGAGAATTCGTTTAAAAATCAAAAGCCTCTTTAATTCTCATAACTTAAATGTTTGATTCAGGGGTGATATTATAAGGAGAAGGTAGATGCTAGTCACTCTTAGAAGTTAAAGAGTCAATTCTTAAACAAAGTTTGCCTAATTGTGTACTAGTATATACTTCCTGTGAAGTCTGATATTCTAGACGCCATTTTGGATGTGTTGGGAGCCTAGGAGAGACACTGGAACCGAGGGTGTTCTTTGATAGGTCGAAGGTCTTCTCCCTATTTCTTTAATGCGCGCTCTTCTTAGCGTTAACGCCACATTCATAAGTTTTCTTATTCAATAAAAAGGCAATAATTGAAGCTGTGTACTGATATTTCAGAAGTGAATTTAGCATTTTCCTACTTCATAACTCACTTACCGGAAGTTATTTCTAAAAGTTCTCAACGGCAATTGACTTTGACAGAATCAGTTCTAGTCCCTGAGGAATTTAATCAATATGTGTTTGAAAAATAGATAAATCGTCCATTGTAGCCCTCACCAAAACACACACCAAGAGGACAAGGAACAGTTTCGATAAGAAATGTTTGCTACTAGGTATCTTTCGCTCATTGCAGTTGTCTTCACCCAGCTCAAAGCGAATGGTAAGCTAATTATCTTTCCAAAAATGTTACACCTTTTTCGTCAGGTTGTCTAATCACGATGTAAATATGTTCTCTGTTATGCGCTTAAACAAAGTTGCAACGCAGTTGTGTCATTGCTAGAAATTTAGTATATATTATAGCTAAAACATCGCAGTTACAGACCACAGATAAACGGGTTCTAAAGTTTTTCCTTTGGCGATACCGATGCACGGGTAAAAAGCACAGAACGGTGCAAAATGCGTGTTACTTTCTTGTGTGAGGGAAGTTCGCACGCAAGCCCGAATTTTTGGCACGATTTTCAGAGAGCTGCCACTTGTAATTACCGAGTAAGGCAGTTGATTTATCGGGGCACATTGCTACCCGTTTGAAGCAAACAGTAATCGATGGCTATGTCTTGAGATTAAATTTATATCTTCATGAAACCTTGCGTGGCAAAAGTTTCAGTGTATAAATAATCGACTTCTTTTTTGCGTGAGGAATTGAAATACGATGCCATCCACTTTAACTTTGTGGATTTGCACAATCACTTCAGTGGAACAAAATCGTATTTTCACAACTTTCTTCGTTTCCTTAACCCCGTTTTCAAAACCTGAGGATTTCAGTTTTCCAATTTCTGAACAAATTCAGGTTATTTAAAAGACAAAAAACTGAAAACATGGAACACATCAAATTTTATCAAAGAAACATTTAAAAACGAGAGCAAAAGAAAAACGCGAAAAAAGGATCCAAGGAGTAATGTTTCTCAGGCAACAGCCATGATTGTTTGTTGACATTCTGCTCAAAATTTGCATTTTACATCTAATGGTCAAGCTGAAAGCCCATTGTGTCAAAAAAACGGCGCTATATTTCTGAGAGGTTTATCACATCGGTCGAAAAATTCTTGTGCCAAGAGTCCTCTTTGACGTGCTTCTCTCTGTCTTGTTTCGCTGCTTTTCGTTAGTTTTTGCAGTAAGCCAATATCTGAAAAGCTCTCATCAAAGCCTTAGTTAATACCATTTAAGTGGAATGCAGTTAACAGTTTAACATGGGTGAATTTTCTCCCCAAGGGAATGATGATGAATGAAATACAAGAAAAAGCGTTCATAATTACTTTTCATACCATTACCGTAATTACTTAATCATAACAATGTTTAAAGGGATAATTTTTTTTTACAACCGTATTAAGCAGATCTTAAAAAATTAAAGCTGTCTCTCGTTTGATAGAGATATTGATCGAGACTTACGAGACGACATTGATCGAGTTTCATGTACAATGATATCGCTGAAAGATTGTTAGCCATGTCGGCTTCTTCTAATACTAATGTCACGAAACAAGAAGCAAAGGAGCTCGAGTAAATTCAAAGGAAAACTGTCTCTTATTTATCTAAGCACATTTATAACAATCATCCTCGAGTGCCTGATGAAAATAAGACATAAAATAGTAATGTCGACCTCAAGACATGAAAGAGAAGTAAGAAATTTTCATACCCAGAAAATATCGCAGAACTGTTGGTAAAAAAGCTCCATACCATATGTTGTGAAGACAACAAACGGTATTTCGGTTTAGAAAACTCACGGTTTAATTTCACGGTTTCTTTAGTTTTACATTTTCATCTCGACTCTAGCGACGACTCCGACAACTAACTCTAAAACCTGACCGCGTGCGAATTACAAAATAAGAGTAACTGTCAATCAAAAAAGTGAAATCTGATCACTCCAAAACCTACGCGTACAATTGCGTGACGCGTGACTCAAAGTGTCTTTTGTCCACCATATTTCTGGCTTCATACCATATTTCTTTTTGTAACAGAGGCAGCCATCCCGCCATTTCAAGATCAATGTGTAAAGTGGCATAATATCTACCGAGAAAAACATCAGGTAAATATTGATAAACCCTTAACACCCCAACATCAGCACCCATATTCTCCAAACTGTTCTCTATAAATTTCCTTGGTTCTGGCGAGGAGAATTTGCTTAAAAATCACATCCTCTTAGGTTGGCGATCGTGTCCATTATTCTCATGATCTTGATAAATTATTCAGAAGTATTGCTGTCAGGAAAAATTATACGATGGTAACTCTTAGGGTTTACAGTGTTAAGAGAACTGTACAGAAAACGTTAAAAAATTAAGATCACATCTACGAACTGATTTACCAGAAGGGTGTAGAACTAAAAATATAAGTGGGTAATTTCCTAAAGAAACTGTGGTGCTCCGTCGCTGAAAGAGTATAACAAGGTAATTTAGTATTATCAACTGAGTTGATAACGTAAATCGGCCACTGTAAAGAGTTTCAAAACTGATTTTTCGAGCGTTAGCCCTTCGTCAGAGCGAATGGAGGCTCTGGCGAAGGGCTAACGCTCGAAACGTCAGGTTTGAAACTTTTATAGCTGGGATATTGACCCTTGGGTATTCCGGGTTTTTTTGTTGTTGAAAAAAATTACCTTATTGCATCAAACTGAAATTTAGGACTCAGAGACTACTTTAAAACATAGGTCGACCCTGTGACTTGGGATGACACTCTTGCCAATGGAGCTCAAATTTGGGCAAATTATTTAGCACAAAATAATTTGTTTAAACATGCGTCTGGAATTCAGCCAGGAGAAAATCTATACCTGTCCGGTTCTCCTCTGCCAGAGGAGCCCTGTACTGAGGCAACACAGCTGTTCTACGGGGAAATTAAAGATTATGATTTTGACAAGCCTGGATTTTCAATGAGTACTGGGCACTTTACTCAGGTACATAACAAGGCCCATACTAAGACGTATTAACTTGCCTTAGTTTTAGGGGCCTTTAAACAGTTTAAGGCTATTTGAGAATATTCTTAAAAACGTCAGGTGACCTATAGCAACTTCAAGTGACTTTAGGTGACTTTAGGGAAAAAGCGACCCTATACGGTTAACATGACCCATCCTAGCGCGATCAAATCAAAGTTTTCTCCAAGTTGACGAAATCAGGTGAAAAAGGGGCATGAAAGATGTTGCAATTAAAGGTATTTGAAAATAACTCGACTTTTATTTTTGTATACGTGGTTTTTATTCACATAATTCAACTCAGCCCCAAATGCCAAGTATTGAGAGCAGTTCAACAGCGTTGTTGCTCAGCTAGAACAGAACGCTGACAGAAATAGGAGTTTATTTATTTTGGTTGTCAGGCAGGTCGTGTAAAAGCATAGCTAAAACCCTTACCTACGTCTTCTTTTGCCTCTCGTTCTCTTCATCTCCATCTCTTCACCCAGCCCCAACCTTTCTTCCGCACGAATGTACAGTATAACTTTAGAATACGGACATTCCTCCTTTTAATTTCGACTCAAAGTCCGTCGCGCTAGTCGAAAAATATCAACGGAATTCTGGGAGTAAGTTGCACAAAAAATTCGTGCATTTCATTCCCAGATTTCTGCACGGCGTGCGAACAGCGGTTTTTTTTTTCCTTTTTTTTTTCGCTGACTTCTCTAGACTCGCTCAACGGACTTCCCCGAAAATAAGGGACTGCCCGTAATCTAGTTTAACTATTTCTACCTTTAACTGGCCGAGAATATTAGTTACGTTATTTTATGAATTGACAGTCTTCACTTCATTTTCCCCAGGTTGTCTGGAAGAAAACTAAAAAGATTGGAGCGGCACAGCAAACCAGAAAAGATGGAAGGCTTGTGGTTGTGATTCGTTATTCTCCCGCTGGGAACTATGTTACAGAGAAAGCTTTCAGGGAAAATGTTTTACCCGCCCGATCAGGACACGGAGTTAGTCACACGCTTTCTTCGTCAGCTCTCACTGCCTTCGTTGTTGCATGCGGGGCTGTTTTGAATTTTGTCTTTTGATGTTTTCACCCTTATTACGCTATGTAGCAAGGAATTTCAGTTTCTCATCAGTAAAAATATGCAATTTAATTTTAATACATGTCGAGTGAATTAAAACGCTGTTATTTATTGTAAGGGCAACGTTTGTTGTTCAGAATTTAAAGGTAGCGGTCGGCTTTTTTTGCTGTTAGGAATTGGCTCTAAATTGGCATCCGTAAAGAGTTTAAAAGCTGACGTTTCGAGCGTTAGCCCTTCGACAATCGCTCTGGCGAAGGGCTACCGCTCGAAATGTCAGCTTTTAAACTCTTTACGGTGGTCAATTTACGTTATCAATTCAGTTGATAATGCTAAATCAACCTTTCATTATCTGTTTAGTTACGTTGTGCATCAGTTTGCATTTTGTGTACGTGTGCTGGTTTGGAGTTTCACGCTGATTTTGGTTAAGGAAACAAATAATGTTGGTTTCACTTCGGCTGTTGTGGCTTCTGTGAAAACCAGAAAGTATTAATATTACTCTGAACAGAAATTACCATTAGGAAACAAAGAATGTAGGGTTAATTCCGGTTTTTCTTTTTTCTTTTTTTTCAAGGAAAGAGTCACAGAGAGTTAAGATAAATCTCTGAATGAAAAGATGTATTTGTTTATTACTTCGGTAATATCTCACCAGACGTAGTTTTGGAGCGATTTGGTATTTATGTTTAAGTTTGATAACTTTAACTTTTAATCAGGTGAGAGTTAGTATTCATATTATTCACGGATTTGGTTACCACACCAAAACCAATTTCGTTTGTTGTAGAAAATAAATGATAAACCGAATGTGGCAAAGCAGACATGTTTTTGTGGTGGAAAGAATTTAAACAAAGCAGAACCGTGTCTTGTGATCGCAATGTCGATTGATAACTTTGAATTTTTTGTAAACTAAAGAAGGAGGAAATAATTTTAGTAAAAGCAGCTTTGTAAAAATTTTAAATTTACCTGATTTTTTTTGTTGATGATATCCTTGGTTCGTTTTTAATAAAGAAGAGAAAGCTTGTTAATCAGTCTTCTTTTGTAAAGATTCTGCTTATGATGTGAAATATTTTTCTATTAAATAAAATCCTCCGATAATTTGATGGTTCGAACTATAGATAGCTAAAACTTCTTCCGTTAAAAAAAATCTTCAACCCTACAAAAGAATTAAACAATTACAACGCCTTTTCTAAATAGCAAAGATTTATACTGCTTCACCTCAACATTCCTTGCGAGCAGGTGTAAGTTATGAATTATTTATTCTTCCTCACCGTTTTATAGGGGTTGTTTGTTGACAGAAACACTTCGTACCGACAGAGACGTAGTCGATCCAAATCTCGAAAATGCAAGTTTATTTTGCTCTCCTTTGCTTCAAACTGGGTCTGCTGATGAGAGCTTCTTTTGGAGGTAAGATACGGAATTCAGTTTTGATCTGCAGCGATAGAAGTTGGCGTTACAATCAAGTTGGAAGGAACTTGCGAACTTGAAGAAAGTTCAGGAATAAGTACTCCGCAAAAAATTGCTCTGAGGAATCAAAATATTTTGACAAAAGCGTTCTACTCTCGCAGGATCTCGGCTCTCTCGTTTCCCTGTAATTTTTTCGCTATTCTTTTGGTAACTGACTGCGTTCAGTCGCGTTCTTTCTCTCATAAGTACTATTATCCATGGTGCTGATACTGTAACTTATCAAATGTATAAAAACGCAACTTGACAGACTATTGCACCCAGGGACTATACTATCGTATGGCCGAAAGCGAGCAGGTATTTTAGATCCAACCTATAACACCGACAGGACTTGGTAAAACAGTCCGTTACTGATTGCAAAATTTTTCCTTCACTCGCATTAATGGAATTTCTAAAAAAAGACTTGTAGACTGACTGATGATCAACCAACGAATTTTTAACAAAATAATCAGACCAAACTCTCCCCGTTAATGAAAATTATTGTTTAATCTTTTGAATTTGAATAGAATATTTGCTTAGTTATGACTGATGCTCTGCGGCGGTTGAAATGGCAGTTCATTATTGCCACAAAGCATTTGATGGGGGGTCGAATTTCTCAAGGTGAACTCATACCTATTTAAATTTTTAGAAAATAGATTGGAAATTTTCAAAATTTTTATCTACAAAGATCGTTACGCTATCCACATTGCTGATCCTAGCAGTATATTCGGTAGCAGTAGGACGCGTGTCACATGAACTTCGTAATAGACCTCTGTCTCTGTCTCTGTGGCTCAGTGGTAGAGCATCGGAGCTAGCGTGGAATCCGATCGTCTGAGGTTCGATTCCTCATGGGAACTCAGAATGTTTTCTTTGTCCCACGCTCGTGATGAGATGATAAAAACATCTTTCTCTACATTTGAAGTCTTATCAAAACTAGCTTTTAGGACTGCACATGTATGCACGTCCAAAACGTTTCTACTGATAAAACTATTTTATTTTTTTTTTATTTTTTTTTTAATTTCAAAGCGAAAAGATTTGAGAATTTTATCTGTCAAGCCACATTATTTAGTTATCCAATTAGGAATTGAAATTTTGAAGTTGAACTCGAATTTTCCGGAAAATCCTACAGTTCATCGTATGAGTAATTTGCTTGAACTGTTATCTTTAATTGATAGCATCTAGTTACTACCGAGTGAAATCAGTTCAGCACGCAATGTAATTTCTAACGGGTAAAATTAATTTAACTTTCCTATTCATGACAGAGGCAGAAATTCCGCCATTCAAAGATCAATGCCTGAAATGGCACAACGTGTACCGTGAAAAACACCAGGTAAATAAAAGCCGTATAGACTTCTCACTGAGAGTAAATTGTATAAGCATGCAGGTTGCAGTAATTGTTTCCATGAATCAACTCCACGATCCACCTAAGGCTCATCGCGATATCAATCACACGGGAAGTTTGGAGACCTCCAGGGATGCCTCAGAGTTACTTTGAGGCGTAGCCCGGAGAAAATCTAGCTTCTTGAGCGCCGTTCAAACTTTTCAAGTGCTTCATATCTCGATGAAAGCATGGCTGACGTGTGAACCAATTGTTTTGTGTATCATTTTCAAATCGATATTTCGAACACTGTTGAAAGAGAAATTTGCCTTTGTCTACACCCTTTATATTGAATGTTTGCTAAGCGATCGATCGGCATGACGGGAAATTATTTTGCAAAACGCAGGTTGATCCCGTGACGTGGAGTGACACTCTTGCCAGTGGCGCCGAAAGTTGGGCAAACTATTTAGCGCAAAACAATCTGTTTAAACATGCGTCTGGTCTTCAAGTTGGCGAGAATCTGTATCTCTCTGGTTCCCCTTCACCTGAAGAGCCTTGCACTTCGGCTACTCAAGCTTTCTACGGAGAAATCAAAGATTATGATTTTAAAAAGCCTGGGTTCTCCATGGATACTGGACACTTCACTCAGGTGAATTTACTTTAAAGTAGCTTCAGTTATATCTGTTACCAAAAAAAGGTTTCAAATGAAAGGACAAAGGCTCCCATGCAGATCATTGAGCCTCTTTCAACCCAGGACTATACATGTGTAGCGGTGGACTTTTCGAGAGACCTGACCTGTAGGTAATTCATAAACAGATTTCATGTTTTTGATTGGAATAAGAATGGGCTCAGCTCGCCAAAGAAACAGAGAAAGATGTTTTCCGTCTTGTTACGAGCGTGGGACAAAGAAAACATTCTAAGTCCCCATGAGGAATCGAGCCTCAGACCTTCGGATTCCGCGCTCCTATGCTCTACCACTGAGCCACAGAGACTCTCTAGTGAGCAAGACCCAGATTTCATTTTGCCGTGCCTTTGTGCAGTGTCAGACATACGAGGCTCATCCGAACAGACTCGCGGTAACATTTAACGTATTTTTCCTAACTAATGTAGACATTAAAAAATGTTAAAAGCGACGTCATCTGCGTATCTGTCTTCGAATAGATCAAATTAAGTATTTTAAACAAATAGATTCTATGCTGCCGTGCTAAGTGTGTCACTGATATCCATAAGACAATTTATGAACGATTTTTGTGATCTATTACTATACACAGCCACGGTAACCTGGAATCTATTTTTTTGACGTCATCTATGCACTTGCCCTCTAATAGATCACAAGTGAGAACCAATCAAAATGGATTTAAAAGTCAACTTATCATATGAGATTCAATTGCATTGGAGTAACATGTTCTTCAGGGGGAATAGTGATACCCTGTACTCACTTCATGCTTCCGAAGCCATGATAAACTCCATCGGGATGAGCTCGTTTTCATTCTTTTCTCTTTTGTGTTTTCCCAGGTTGTTTGGAAGGACTCCAAACAGATCGGAGCCGCTCAGCAAGTAAGGAGAGATGGAAGGCTTGTTGTGGTGATTCGCTATAATCCCCCAGGAAACTTCAATACAGACGGAGCTTTCGCTGCAAATGTTTTGCCTGCCCGACTTGATAATGGATCCGGAGTTTGTGATGTGCGTTCTTCTTCGGTTTTCACGGCTTATCTGGTTGCTCTTGGACTTATTTTCAACTTCCTCTATTGATGTATTTATTTGAGTAACACTTTGATCAAGGAGTTTCCATCTTTAGGCTACAGATGCACAACTTTGTGATAAACTATTCACACACGATTGAATAAATTTGTAAATGAACTCATTGCAAACGTTAACATTTTTAGCCTTTGTATAAGTTGCATCAGTGATCTGATTAGTTGCTGTTGTACAGTGATGTAGTTTTATTGCATTTGGAAGGACAGGATGCAGTTCTGTATAGGCGTCAGAAGTAGAGATATGGCCGGAAAATTCCTAGTGCCGAAATTCATGTAAATGACATATTGCATACAACTGAACGCAACCGTAACATGCTAAGAAATGCTAGAAAACGACAAGTATTACTCTTCATGTAAAGGGCGCCTGTCGGAATTCTGTTCGACAAGCCTTTGATTTTATAATTGATAAACGGTACGGTGCTCTGGTTCTTGTGATAAACAAGTTTCGTTTTCAATAAATTTTCATCGTACATATTACACATATCATCTTCATTTTTGTGTAGAACAGCATTGACAGTATATTTGCAAACAAATTATCGTCAGTTACATGGGAGCTTTCACGTTTCGCCGCTATAAGAACAAAACTTAAATTATATATATTCGCTGTGCTTAATTACAAATAAAGTTGAAATTCGACTTTCAAACGTAGTCACTTTCAATGAAAAGGCAATTCAATACGTGTTTTGTCCATGTCATTTATGGCTTTTTTTGAAAATCACAAAAATTTTTACTTGTTTCAGAGCATGAATAAAAGTTTTCACAAGCATGAGTTCGTCCCTGAGGTTTAAGTTACCTGTTGCGTGTAGACAGGGTTTTTTTTATTGAGGGGGCGGGGGGGGGGGGGAATGGTCGTAGGTTGCCTTTAGATCTTAAAAGGCGGCTGTATTTTTAGTGTGACTTTTCGTATTGTTATTACTTCATCAACTTCTCATTTTCACAAGAACTTTAGAATTTTCATGGGCCAATAGATGCCTTGACGGTATTGGTGCATTTAGCATGAAGCAAACAATATATTCTGAATTAAGATATCGAAAAGTGAACACGGAATCTGTTAAAACAAAATTTTCACATTGTCGAAGGTGTTTTCGTTCTTTGGTCGACACGACACCTTGACCGCTGGAAAACTGAACAAAAAAACATGCAGATTATAGGAACCGTGCTTTTCGTTGCAGTGTTTGTCATAAACAATGCACTTTATGGAGGTACGTTTATTTTGCATCATGGTTAAGTTAAGCTGATAACTGACTCTTTCATGATCATAATTTCCCTAAAGATAACTAGTCACCATCGGAGGAACTGGTATCAATCTAAATAGATCATGGATAGGTTGAGACTCGAATATTATACTAAAGAAGGAGAAGATTGTGAATGAAGCAATGTTTTTTTCACCACAGAAACAAATATAAGGATTTGCAATTTCAACCAGCTAAAAAAGTCAACATAAAATGTTCTTAAGATGCACAAAAATATCGTTATTGAGCATACACGTTTGAATTTGATATCTGGCACGCGTGATCCAAAAGATTTCCTTAAAATGGTTTTGATACTAGTCGTTTTCATAAGCAGTTTGTTAGGAATTTACGTCCTCATTTGCTTTTAATTTCAAATATTTAACGCTCGAGAAACTATTTGAGTACTAAAAATTAATAGCGGAAATGATGAGTCATTCTGTTTCGAATAACGTGCGTAATCTTTAATTACAACTTTCAGTTTTCCTGTTGCAATCAGTTAGTTTCAAAACTGGTAAGACAGTTTACCACGCGTGCTGCATGGTTCCAAAAATGCTGAATAAAGAATTCTGGGATCATCTTGCTCTGTTCCCTAAGCTAAAAGGGGAGACAGTTTTAAATTCGAGCATTTTCATATCACGTTTACACTGTTTATGTAAATTTTATTTGCGTCTCCGTTTACCACAGGTAGTTCCACTCCATCGTTCAAAGAACAGTGTCTGAAGTGGCATAATGCATACCGTGAATTACATCAGGTAATTAAAAACAATCGGGACTTTTCTTGATCAAAATCATGTCACTCCGCTTTCTCACATCAGACTTTTAAAACAAAACCTAACGCATGTCCAAGACTGCTTCCCAAATTTGAAGCGTTTTTTTTTTCACGCTTAACATATTCGATACATCAATTTGCACGGTCGTTCTAAACGACAATAATTCATCGCTCCTCCTAAAAATATCAATTTGTTGTCAAGGACCATTTTGGTTTTATGAGATATTGTATTGGATAGTTTATGTCTTGTGGCTTTTAACGAAATGATCTTGGTTTGCATCTCATAAAAGACGATTCCAAAAGCTCTCTTCTTTTTCATCTTTGATTTCTTTCGTGCATTCGCGTCGGAATCAAACACGCACGTTTTATGGTAAGCCCATGGTAAAATAAAACTAGCGAAAAATAATTTATTTTTTGGTGATATGATTGGTTGATTGATGCAAAGGAGAAATTATCTTTAACTCATCTAAGAGCTCTTTACGATGAAGTGTTAACTACCTCAAATAAATTCCGGTTAATATATTGGCCAATCAGAACACATTTAAATATCGCACATATCCAAAACCAGAGAACACAAGCTACATAAAAGTTTCCGAACTCGTGCTGTTATGAAAAAGTCTCGATTAAAATTGGCTTTGCATCTGCTCAGTTGAGATGTTGGCACGAGTTCCTTAACCAATCATAAAATGTGTATGGCAAAGCAAAACCACCCTTTATAAAAATTTGCTAAAATCCGGATTACTTGACTTGTTCCTAGCCTTTAGGCGGCGTGAAATTGTACACACAAATTATAAAAGTCCAGACTATGCATATTCGCCTCCCCAACAGGTGCAGAATGTGACGTGGAATGATACTCTTGCGGCCAATGCAGAAAACTGGGCAAACTATCTGGCAACAAACAATCTTTTTGAACATGCCAAAAATATTTGGGAAGGAGAGAATCTGTACCTGTCCGGCTCCCCTCTGCCTACGGAGCCCTGCACTGAGGCAACGCAACTATTCTACCGAGAAATCGACAATTATGATTTCAGCAAGCCTGGATTCTCTTTGAAAACAGGGCATTTCACTCAGGTATTCTTTCATAATTTTTTTAATGCGACGGATTCCCTGTTTGTCATTCATGTGGAAGTCACACGTTTCTATCCTCATTCTCCCAGATTAATTAATGATAAAAACTTTTCTTTTCTTTTTAATTCATCAAGCATATGGACAATTTTAAATTTGAATTTCCTGTTCCCTTTTCCACCCCACATCACCCAGAACCAGAATCGGGGCGCCTTCTCACAAATGAGCCATTTGAAAATCAGGACCTCTGGAAAAGGACTCGCCAGTATTTTTCATCCTAGTTCACAAATAAGAAAATCGATTTTTTACGTTCTCCTTATTTGTCTGAAAACTTCCAAAAACCACAACAATAATACGAGGTTACATCACATTTAACCCTTAACACCCTAACATCAGTATGCATATTCTCCATATATTGATATGTGCCCAAAACCTCTGTTTTGCCCAAAAATTGTGCAAAAAAGGCAAAAATTTTTCGAGGTCACTAGAACCGCAAAAAATTGCTCCAAAAGCCAAAAGTTGCTCAAAAGTTGCCGAGCACAATCAGGACAGCCCTACTTGTAGTACATCATCTAAGCTTTCTGTTCTTCATTTTTTCAGGTCGTATGGAAAAACACCAAAGAGATTGGAGCAGCAAAGAGAATCAGAAATGATAGCAGGCTTGTGGTTGTGATTCGGTATTTCCCCCCCGGAAACTTGATAAGCGGGAAGGAAGCTTTCAAGAAGAATGTGCTTCCAATACCTGAGAGGGGGAGGAGTGGGGCGATTGAAAGGCGTGCTTCTTTGGCATTAACTGGTTTTGTTTTCATCGTTGGAACTTGCTGTCAATTTCTTTTCTAAAAGCATTTCCCACCAAAACTAAGAATTGAACAACATTTTTAATTTTCCAAGCTCGCTTTTAAGGGGATTTGCTTAAGGGTACCTAAAATGAAACGCAACAAAGATCTTGAGCGAGGACGAAAATCTTGAGTGGAGTGTCAAAAACCAAGTACAATGAGGAGAGATTTTTACTAGGAACCAGTCAGAACGTATCGCTTGAGGGGGGAGGGGGTGGTGGAGGATTCTTAGGGGGAATCGCATGATTCACCGAGAGAATGGAAGAGAAGATCAGTCGTCGCCAGCACAGTATAGAGGGGGCCTGTCGAAGTTGACTGCTAATAAGAGGGAACAGAAGAATATTACAGAGCTTTATGACAGGATCCCTATCCCCCTACCCCCTCACCCCCCCTTCCCCCCCCCAACTTCCAGGCGATAAATGATGACTGGTAGCCTTTGCATTGGTCACTACACTGGGTTTTTTTTTTTGGCTACCCAATGAGCTAAATTTACTATTGTTAAGCTAACATCAAGATGGTTTATTGAAATGTAAACCACTTCAAGGTTAAGAGTAGGAATTATAATTTCTTCATTTTCATTAAGAGCTTTCTTTGGTTTTGTTTTTAAAATTAAAGTGTACAAAAGAGACCAAGGGGAAAAAATATAAGAACTCAAAGGTATTTTTCTTGCTTAACTGCTGATCAGCTGTTACTTGAACGTACAGCAGTCTGTATTGTTTCACTTTCCTTCGTAAAGATCTCAACAACGATAACAAAATCACGATTTTATTTCGGTTATTATACAGCGCACAGTGATAACCAAAATGGTTGAATTTTATAATCTTTTTCTAAATATTGTCACCAAAGAAAAGATCCTCACGGTTTCGAACGAGTACGAAAAACTTCTCAACAGATTTTACATCTTTCCTCCATTTCTCTGTAATTGTCTTGCAGATGCCTTTTTTTTTAATGGCCTTACGTGCAACAGGTGCGCAAACTGAAGGCTTTCTTTTCCGATATCCTTTGTTAACATTTCTTTTTCTTTATCAAGCTGCTGCGTTGCTGTTTTCGATAATTAACACCCAAAATGGGCCGTCAGGCTGTTTACTCGTTATTATCACTGTATTCTCAGATCAATTTCCTTTCAAGACGAGATAACTTCCATCTCAATATTGGATCTCTGTTTCTTTGAATGAAGCTTAATCATCACGTCTGTTTATCCAGTTGTTGTATAGCTCCTCATTAGAAGCTTCCTTCTAATGAAGGTTGGTTGGTTGTGTTCTTCAATAGACGTGTTCTTTGTTATAAAGACAACAGTCAGTCAATTGTTTTTGTCCTTTTTTTTCACTTAAAATCACTTCTCCATCCATCGAGAAGCAGCTAAATCAACACCCCTTTTCAAGACAAAGTTTTCTTTGCGTTTATGAATGCTAAAAACGCTTCATTTATCGACTTTAAAATCAATAAGCTAATTTTGGAATAGAAAGCGATTGTCAAGGAAGATCTGTTTGAGTTAAAGGCTCGATGTTGTAACCGTGACATCGACCATGAAAAACGTTAGCAACAACAGATCTGATCTTATTTAGAAAGAATTCATGGAAAATTTTAAAAACTGAATTTGATCCACATTCGAAAATGCCCTGAAGGCTCAAGGAGCGTAAGAGAACAAACTTTGTGGAAGTGAGGAAGTGATTGATTAGGATTTAGGATTTCTGACCCAAAAGACGCGAACACAGACCTTTCTATGACGCCTTCCCCAATTCGATTAAAGTTCATCGGCAGGTTGTACCCCGAAATTAAGGTCATTTGAGTTGACATTTGATTAAATTAACAGGTTTAACGAATAATTCTCATGATCCATTTTCGCTCCCAAAAATACAGTAATTTATCGTGCAAAAGTCGAGTGGCCTTTGAAAACAAGACTTCAACAAAATTTGACTAGCAACAGAAATGTGTAACTGATGTTAAAGTTGAAAACAGTAATGAATCACAAAACCGGAGCGAAATATTTTCTTAACGACCAAAAAATTCAACCAATTTCAAAAACAGCTGAAAAGACCTCTTCATTTGGTAACTAATGAAAGGAAGCTTTTCCCCCACCCCCGTGAAAACTTCTGACCTTCCCCCTTGTATCAAAAGCTATTCACAACAATAACCAGACAAAAACATAGTCTTTCATCATTTATTCATTGTACTCCACGTTCCATTTAATATTCAATTTCACTCTCCAAATTATTTATGTTTGAAAATAAAGAATAAACCACGAAGTATTAAAATATTTCTTGCTTTGAGTCTGATATTCTTGGTATTTTGTTCACATTGTACCGCTAGCTATGTCAAACGACAACCACAACCTTAAACTTAATGAAAATTTGAAATAAAAAATAAACAAATGTTTGTCTTTAACGCAAAAATAAGAAACATACGTTGGTGGCAAATAAACGGGAAAAGCATGAAAAGCCAATGCACCAAATAAGAATAAGGAGAAAATGGTAAAATAGAAAAATGAAAAATAAAATAGAAATAAAACTAACAAGGAAATAAAAGGAGCCATGGCACTTTATCTTAGTTTACTTTTGCTTCTTTCCGGCAGTTATCAGTTAAAACTTGCTTAACCAGAAACACGTTCTACAGTTAGGAAAAAACAAACAGTTTCGACCATATTGAATGATAACGGAAGGCTGACCTTTCCCAAATTCTTCTGAATACAACACATCCTATCATTGTTACGTTTCCCTTTCAACCTTTTCCTCTTATTATTCCTCTTTTATCCTACTACTGAACGATCCACGCTGTTTGAAGTAAAGCTCGTAGTTTTCTAAAATTTTGGCGACATGACTCCTTCGATTTGCAATTTTGCTCAGATAAAGCAAAAACCCTAAAAGAAATATTTCGTAATTGGACATCTTCAAAGAAATTCAAACTAAATCAAAAATTGTCGTCTCTGGGCTACTTTCCTTTTTTCTTGAAGAGAATCGAAATTTATAATTTTCAGCTTCTATTTCTAACTCTGAAACATTTTGTCTAAGCTGCAACGCCCAACACATCGATATTTTTAGAACAACAAGAGGTCATTCACGTTACTAGCACATAATCGATTCGCTTGGGTTTTCATTTCAGATCATTTAATAAACGTAACTGCGTACGTTTAAAACATCTAGGGAACACAGTCATGCGCATCTCATACGTGAGAGCACCTTCAAATTCCAATGTGCATTATTCGCCAAATTATCTTGTTGTTTTGTAGTTTCTGACGTTGCAACCAAAAGCAAAGTAACACTATCGTAAATACACGTAGTATTTTTAGATACACCTGTTATGTTTTCTGTTTTGTCTTGTTTGGTTTTCTTTCTGAGATTTCAAGTAAGATATAACCCCATTTCTTAACGTTTAAGTAACTTAAGACACCTTAGGATCTACCATATAATGCCTTGCCTGAGGCGTTTGATGTGGCTTCCAGAGTCACATGATCCTAAATCTATGACATATCCCTAGAATAAGCAGTCTATTGTGTTACAGTTCTTCCCTTGCTACGTAAAGAAATACCTTCTTTTTTCAAACTAAACTAGATTTGCCTTATTAATAAGTTTCCAAAAAATCAATATACAACGTAATTTGTAGAACTGTAAAGTACGCTAAGTTCGCTAGCGTCAGGAAACAGTTTGCAAACTGAGCTTGCCTTTTACACAGCTGAAACTCTGGATATGAACAAAAGTTCGGAAGTATGGAGAATTTAAATTTTCTAAAGCTGAAGACTTAATTCAGCGGATACTTTTATGTGTTTAGTGATGACCGTGTGTTTGGAAAAATCAGAGTTTTCTAAAAAGTAACAAAAGTTTATTACTACAAGCTCGAATGCAATGACTTTGAGCGCTTGAATGGTTCACATTGAAACCGGACGGTTTTTTTTAACGATGCTAGATAACTAACGAAGTAGTAAATGTCCAACGCACCCCTCGGTCATCTCTGAAGAAAATTTAGACTAGTTTGATAGACTCATTACATTACATATTGACGATCGATGAGTTACTGAGAATGCGGCTGAAAACGTTATTGGTAGAGACAGTACGGCTAGTTTATAATATTTGTTAATTGTTAATTACGCTCTGCTGAAAAACTAAAGAATTTAAAGAAAATGTAACTCAATGGGCTGATCTGAACTGCATCAGAGGAGGTTTGAAGATAACGTTTAAGTTTAGACACCGATATTAAGTTTAATAGGTCGTTACAAAAATAAATATATTGCTTAAATAATCAAGGTATTTGATTTCTTTCTTAGTGACAGAGAACTTCGTTCATTTGGTTCGTCAATTTGTCCTAAACATGCACAACATGGGACACGAGACACAATCAATTTGCTCGTTGTCACGCAGCAAGCGAACATCTGTCACACCAGGTTGCTACGTGACAATCAGACTGTTGCAGAAAACTTGAGGAGATACATCTAGTGCTAATAGAGGTAAAGTGGAATTCACGTTTGGCATCAGTTTGACAGAATTTTCGGTGGAAAAGTGTAACGTCTACCATGTCGAACTTTTGACAAAAACCAGTTACCATTAATACACCATTTCTTCTCTACCTACCTAAATTACATTGTTGGTCCGCTGAACCGGCGAAATTCCAAGTCAGACGACTCTAGTATCATTCGCGTCCAACCAAATGCAGCAGCCTCTCTAATATTCACAAACTCAGTTCCAATAAACCGCGGAGAAAATCGGTGTCCCTACATTCGACTTTTCCGACCAACTGTCAGGAATTCAGTGTTTTAGCTCGCAGTATGTCTCAGTTTACATCCAGCATTCACTGGTTTTCTTGGATCCTTTCTTGACCGTTTTCTTTTCTTGTAATAAAAATATTTCTTATGTTCTGTACCACTGTTTGATTTTTCTTTCCGAATAACCTTTGATGTTGAAGCTGGTTTGTTTGCTTAAGATGTGAATCGAGCTATAATTCTGGACCACGATATGACGTCACAAGACCACGTATGACAAATTCCCGAAATAAAATCAACACACTGATCCCCCGACGACATAATTATCATAAATTGATACAATAAATCCACAGAAATTAAGATGATATATTTTCTAATGTATTTAGACATCAAGGAGCGCCACTTCCCGCCATCTTGTCCTTGATTTGAGCTTTCTTTTTCTCAGCTAGTAGATTGTCTTGTTCGTCATCTTCGCCATCGTCCCCTCCCATCAAAGAGATAAAGCCCCAGGGTGGCTCGTCCTCGAATAAACGACTGATAGCCAGCAAGGCACTGGAGACGACCGCGAGACCAAATGTAAAGTAAACGAATGTGAGTACTGTGAAGGCAATGACGTAACCAGGGTGATCTTTCTCGCTATTGGCTGGATGCTGGGGCACATAATCTCCAAAACCGATCGTGCTTAGTGTGATGAAAGCGAAATAAACTCCTTCGAAAAATGTCCATCCTTCGTAGCTTTTTCCTATACCTGCCAGAAGTAAGATCATTCCTGTTACCATCAGGAATATACACGCTACAGTTTTGAGGTAGATTTTTCGAGGTTCCCTGTTGAAGATCTTTGTGTCAATTAGTTTCCAAAAATTCGCCGTTGCCTCTGTTATCCGTTCGCCGATCGATTTCAGCATTAAGCCCGTGATTGGAATACCAAATATGGCGTAAAATATACAGAAGATTCGTCCCCAGACCGTGTTCGGAGCCATCTTGCCATAACCTTAAAAAAAACGGAAAAACGTTTTCAGCTCTGTAATATTTAGTTTCGAATTGTAGGGTTCCTATGTTCGGCGGATTCCTTTGCAATTTCGACGTGTAGTGCTTCGAAGCCTTCCGAAACTTTCGACAGAATTCAATCGAATAATCCAGGTTTTTTTTGCATCCTCTCAGCACAGCATAGCAAAGCATTTGTCGTGGTCACTGTTTAGTAACAAAATAAAACAATGCAGAGCCTTAAGTCCACTCCAGAAAATTCTGAAAAAAGAAGCATCTTCTTTACTGCTTGGTAAACTTATTACCTGTCAGCTGAAAATGAAACCCTTCGAAAACAATGATGTAACTTCACTTTGAATTTTTGGCAGTATGATTATCTCCTGGTCGTGCGCATGCTCAGAGACACTGTCAGGTCCATGTGAGTGACGTAAGTTACAGCGTGAGTATGAGCGGAAAAAATTTATATTTCGATTTTTTCATAGACATGAAACCTAGATTTCGTTTTCAGAGCGAAGACGCCGTTTTGAAATTCATGCAATTTGGTGTAGACAAAGCCTTATGATGTACTTTTCACTCTAGTAAGTAAGTAATTAAAGACTTTATTTAAAGAGGGTAGCACTAAAACAGTATAGAAATACTAACAAACCAGTGGCCCTCTAAAATTATGTACAACACGGATGTTAAAAACTATGGCATAACTATGAGATAATATAACGAATATAAAAAAAACAAGAGATGAGAGATAAAATCAATTAAAAGTACAAAAGTATAACTAAATCACAGAATAAAATGATTTAAAAGCTGCTGTTCTTCAAATTTTTTTTTCCAAAGAGAGTTCCAAAAAGAATTAAGCGACGCTATTTTCCGCATAGATAGCGGTAAGCTGTTCCAGGCTTGACAGGCAGTCACAGTAAATGTTCTTCCTCCTTCAGTTTTACGTCTGATAATAGGGCGTTTGATAACAGGGTGCGATAACTCTTTTTGATTGTGTCGTAAAAAAAAACCCAAAGTAATCATAACGGCCAGACAGAAGAGAGGAAACTACTTTTTAGAGCTAATGAGAACTCAAAGTAAAATCAAGCCAACTTCCTAAAACGCGGAAAAACGTGGGCGATCAAGTTTGTCATTGGCTTTAGTTTTGCATTTGATTGGCTTATAGAGTGGTGCGAGTTTTCTGGACCAATCACAAAGAGAAGTAAAGCGAAACTAATGCAATCTCTGATTATTTTTGACACTGAATTGAAAATTACACCCACACCAACTGTCACTTTGCTAACTGCACATTAGTGCTTCACAGTCCCATATCGACCTTCATTTCCAAGAGTTGATGACTGTTTATTTACAGCCGTAAATAATGAATGACATTCGTTAGCGAATGACATTAACGTCTGGAATTTACAATCCTTTAATGAGAACATGCAAGTACTTTGGATACTACAGTAGTTCTTACAACCAAGCGTGAAATAAAACTTTTTCAGTTATCATCAACTGCAAGTCGGTTGCATCAGGACCAAGTTTTCGTGCAAAAAGAAATACGGAAGTGTTATGAAAAGTTGATGACGTGCAATCCGATCCGCCAGTCGATATCGTTACTATTCGTTCATTTCACTTTCCCAGTTAATGGCTTTTTTGCCATTACAGAGCCCACATTACAAATAATTTGAATATTTGACTAAATGTATATTCGAATACGATTTATAGACATATTGAATGAATAATTCCTTTATCTATTGATATTTTCGTTTGGCAAATAATGGTTATAATCAAAAAGCGAGAAGAGAGAGCCATTAACTTGACAGAGAAAAAACGGTCCACCGTTTTACCAAAAAAAACTGTGTGGGTTCATCGGTGACTTCATGGGCAAAATTAAAAAGAAATCAATCCCCCTTCCCCTCAGTAATTCTTAATCATGTTATGTTTTGGTTAATGAAAGGTAATATTTCTAAATAAAGTTCTCTGCGTTTCGAAACATATACTAGAGATAAATTCGCCTTCCGTGGTATTATGAAAAAAAAATTTAATTGAGGGGAAACACATCACTGGTAACCAGCGATAATATTTAGATTAAAAAAAAGAGAAATTTTTGCTTTCAAAGAGCCCTTCGTTTGATTTACGTGCCAGCTAAACTTGCGGCTTTCACATTAATGAATTAAATAGGAAACATTAACGCGATGAAAGGTTGAACATCACTGTGTGATTCGTTGTACCGTTTAGTGTTCCATTTCGTTTCCTCATCCGCCTTCTCGCTTAAAAAACATGGTAGTCTTTAAAAAAACCTCACCTATTCAATGACTTGCTAACTCACTCACTCAATAACTCTCTTACCAACTTCCTCGCTCAATCAATCTCTTGCTCACTCATTCCCTCACGCACGCAACAACTCTCTCACTCGCTCACTCACTTATTAATTTATTTATTCACTTCCTCGCTCGCTTTCACGGTTGTTCTAAGAAATGTGAGCGAAGTACAAAAACTATCATTAGACCTGAAAACGGAAAAAACAGAATTCGCCACGTCCTCAGCAGTTGCAACCGCGCGTAATATTCAGTTGTCTAATTTTATCTTCTTTGCTTCGACAATTGAGCGATTCAGATCCATAAAATCGTCGCAAAATGATATATTTCGTAAATAGAATAAGAAAGATAGTAATATGATGATAGATTTCGCTTCTAAACTTTTCATATTGTTTCAGCAAACCGTTCAAAATCTCAACAATTGACACTTCTTTAATCTTCTCCAATTTTTTATATCATTTTAAACTGAAAGAGAGAAGACAAAAGTCAGAGGCGTCCTACGCAGAGGTTTGATCGTATCAGATTCTTACTAGTTAATTGCGCTGTAGACGCACATTTCCGACATTCTGTCTTATCGTCATTCTCCAATTAATTTTAAACTTTGTCTGAGAATATGTCTACTCGTCCCTGCTGTTAGATAGCCACAAAAATTCAAATCAATATGTTTGTTTATTTCTCGTTGGGAGACCAATCGCCCAGACATTATTTTCCTTTTTTTAGAAAAAGTTTATTCAAATTTCAATCGATCTGCTTCATGGATATAGAGCTTTCATGATCAGTTAACTTTTGGCATGGTTGCCTTATTATGATTGCCATTAGCTTACTTTTGCTTCAGATAACTAAATACTATGGTGAAAAAAAGGTGTTTATGAAATCCCGAAAGGAGAATCGTTGGAACGGCATTTGAGCTCTCGTTATGATTAAATTTCTTCTAGCAAGCGATAGAAAATTCAGCGCCACAGGCGTTGCGAGGTCTGCATAAAATGTCACCCACGCTGACTGAGAAAAAAAAAACGGTTTTACTCAGAGTAGCCTGTGAGTCATGATAAATTCAGTTTACGTCTTAAATACGTTATTCATTTGTATTTTTGGAAATGCTGGCTAAAACTTTAACTGCCTTTTTTCTTAATTTCTTCAATTTTCCTCGTAAAGAAGGATACCAAGGATAAAAGCGATTCAGAGGTACAGGAAGTATTCAATTTCCCTGCAAGAAAATTTTAAAATTCTATCATATTGCACTTCCAAAAATATGCAATTCACTTTCTTCAGATTCTCTCATTTAAGAATTTCAGATTTTTTTAAAACAGATATCTTGAGACGAACAGCGATTTACCGTGATTTTGTCCTTTGAAATGGACCGCTTAATTCATAATTCTTCAGTGTCCCCCACAAAGAATTTTGAATACGACAAAGTTTTATTGCGTCAAACTTTACGTGCTAAAATATATTTTTTTGTCAATTTGGTGTCCTGGGTATATTAAGCAATGATGTACAAAAAGAGTATTCCGTGGTCGAGATTTTCAAATATCAGTAAATTAACAATAAATTTATTAGAACTTTATCACACAAAACCCAGCAAACAATGATTCATCCACGAGGTACAATGAAAACCATAAATGTTTCATTCGTTAAGGAGAATTCCAAATTACTTTCAATTAAGTCTCTAGAATTCTTTCATATGAAGACACTCGTATTTGTTCAAAGGCGTGCTAACACTTAAGAACAGCATTTACTTAGCTGAGGTAATTTTTACATTACAATGTAAGACGTGAAGGGCGCTATGGCAATCTCAGCGTAGTTGTAACCTGAGTTAATTTTTTGTTGATAGAAGTTATATTTTTTTCTGTCAAAACGAAACGCACTCGATTCCTTAACCTAAATTAAAATCAATTGTGGGTTTGAGTTTATCAGGTGTGATTAATTAACGAAAACCACGTTCTAAAATAATAAAACAGACCTTCAGATTTGTTCTTTACGTAAGCAGAAACACGCAAGTGAACGAACTGGCAAAGCTTTCACTCAATTTTATCAAGATGAAATAAGGTTTTGTTAAAATTGCGACTTTAAGGCGAAAATTGAGAAAATCCGCATGTAGAGAATTTCCGATTTCGACGAAGTCGACGCATGGAGCACAGGATAAGAAAATTGGAAACTTATTTGTTAAACCAGAGAGAGAGGGAAACATGCACAGTAATCAAATTTCAATTAAAACCACAAGATGGCCGTTGAATGCGAAATTTGAAATTTAACACCATTTTCCTCTTCTTTCAAAGATTTTATTCTGAGCTGAAAAATAAAACAACAAACAAGAAATCTTCTTTAATGAGGTCGAGTTTACAATTTGGCCGCGTGTGAGATCGGTGATTGAATTGGCTCTAAAATAACTTTTTTTCCAGAATTTCCATGCTGCCGGACGAGAATTATTGTTTGCTTCAGAAAACTTTTCGTTCATTTTTTGAAGAGTCGTAAAATTATATAAACAAATGAAATTACAGAATATGCCGGAAAATACAATTCTACACCTCGCAGATATTGTTCAAGAAAAAAGTAATTCTAGAACAAAAATGAAAATAAAAATATTCTTTGAACGAAAGAAATTTGTACGTAAGAGTGTTGCTCCAAAGAAAGGTTCACCGAATCTCTAAATACTAAAAGAAAAAGATTACACCCTCTTTTACTTCTACTTTTAAACGTGCGATGATAACGCTTCAAAGAATTCCAGTTTATTATTTCTTCATACAGTTAAAAGCTGAATTCCCTGATTAACAGAATAAAACGGCCTTATGAAATAAAGTTGCTTTTTTTCTAAAGTTTTTTTTTTCTCTTCACGATTTAATTCAGAAGATATGAAGTTTCCATTCATAGATAGAAAATATCTTTATCACGCCGCATGGATCAGCGAGAAAGCTCATTTCCATTCCTACTAATACAAGTGACAAAAAAGGTGTTAATGCAACTGTTTTTACGCCGCTTAAAGAAACATTTCGGACTCGTTAATTTTTCTTTCTTTGAGCGAATGAAACCGACAACTGAATCTGAACTCGCTTCAAACAATATCGAGTTTTGCCTCAAAAACGCCAGCCTTCACAGATAAACTTCACTCTCACTATTCAACAAAAGATGAATGTTTTCTACACCATAGATTTGAATGCAACATAGAGCTGTCTTTTTGTTACAGAAATTTTGTTCCAAATACGTTCAAAAGCGGAAAAATCACTCGTTCGTGAAATTGCAAATTTCGGTTGAAAAGCTGTATACAACTCTTGACCATATTTCCAAAGGACCGAATGCTTCTCAAACTATGTAGGATTCGTGCACCTTTTTGTTCATTTTCTTCGAGAAATACGCTAAAAACAGAAAACGCGTTAAAATACATTTAAGTTCCTTGAGGCAGGTGGTGACCATATTATTGAAAGCAATTTTTCGCTATTTCCATTTTTGTTTATGGTAAACATGTCCCTCTCAAAACCCGCCAAAACATAGGTCACCAGCATTTCATCAAGCCGAGGTTTGTCGATCATAAAAAAAATTGCGCGTGTTAGCAAGACGAAAACCGGGCGTGATTCACTGTAGGAACAACAAAAACACATGAAATTGATAAAGAAATATCCAGATTTTTGTTTGATCGGAAGTAATGGAATATACTCTTGTAACAAATTGGTCCTCAAATGCACTTTTGCAGTCTCGGTATATTTCCTTTCCTCTACTGCCGGTGAAAACTGTTTCTCATGATTTCAATACCAATTTCTTCTTTCCAAGGAAAAGATGTCCTTTTTCCTTTAATGAATGATAAATTCGTAAACAAAAAAACTCGAAATGGAAAATAAATCTTGTACATTTAACAGAATATCCGTAGCTTGATAGTCAAGTGAAGGTAGTACATTCTGACATTCAGGGATCCCACATCTTCCAGGAAAAAAAAATTAAGATTTCCTCATTAATATCCCGCCAAATCAAAACTTCTGGCCTCGTAAATTGAATTGGGACCTGTGCTAGATTTCCTTTGGTATAGTGTTTGATTATACCGAGTTTTAGCTTCTTAATCACCTCTGTCATGAAAAAAAGACCCTCTTTTCTAGTGCCACAGCTGCTTCTAAACAAATATACAATTTTGTGTCGGAAGCCTACGCAAATCTTGGAGGATTTGAAACCCCGAGGGATCAATCAGTTCATTTTTTTGCGCAGTTTCTGGGACTTACTATCAAAGTAAATTCGATCACTTCTACCGGAGTATTTTCCTGGTTAGGATAAAATATTCATTTGCCGCTAATTTTTATTTCGATCAAAATGTCAGATTCGCATTTTGTATAGGCAAAGCCCAATCTTTTATTTACCCGAAGGAAAATAGGCATTTAATGATATCCTTTCTAATTGAGGCCAAACCACTATTCCACTGATATGCCGAAAGTTGAAAATCTTGATTTTTTCGCCTTAGTGAAATTGGATTTTTTCACGGGGCGATAGAAATAAATGAACCGGTAAGCTACTATTGTTATTTTGTCGTCGTCTTTGCTGTAAGTTCATAATCTTTTGATCGCTGTTTTGCATAATACAGACTCCACACAGCTTGAGCTATGAACACTGTGCTTCTCGGCGAAATTAATTCTCGAACGAGCGGCCGATGGCATGTTTTCGTTTGAAAAATTACAAAACTCAGCGATTTTCTATTTTTCGTCGCAGTGATAGCGCGCTATTTCTGTGTTTTAACTAATGAATTCATGGAAAGAACTACCTCTGACAACAAAACAATCTGCAAGCGTCCGATTCAAATCGGAAACAGGAGTTTGAATATTCATATTCAATGCAGATCGAGCGCTTTTTTTAATCCGCAACAAAAGGAGGCAGGACTTTGACAGGATCGTTAAATTCTAATTCTAAAGACCAGCGATTTTTTTGGGGTAAAATGTTTGAAAATTAATAAGTTTATATCAACCAAAAGGCAAACCAGAGATTCGATTTGGCGAGCGATTTTGCGTTTTAATGAGCGCTACAGTTTGACAGCGCCAAATCACGTTAGAAACTGTGCTTTAGAAACTTGAATTTAAGTACTGAACGAAAGGACGCTCAGTTAATCGCTAGCAACGAAGGAATCTTAGTCGATCTTTCACAATAAACTTATATTTCTAGAAATTAAAATACAACGGTCGCACGGATTGTGTTTTTGCTTCCCACCAAGTGCAAAATATATGCAATCGATATCCGAAGAAGACATTAGTACTGAATGAAAGTTAAATCGCGCAAAGTTCTCAAGAAATTTATCAGAAAACCGCGCACTACACTGCGGTGGTTTTCCGATAAATGAGACAGCATGGAGATATCTTAAAGGGTCGAAATTCAACGAGATAACTAAATTTAAAAGCGCGGTGCTTCAACGAGTATTAAAAAAATACCCTGAGTAACAACATAATAGTGGTACTCACCAATGGTAGTCACAACTGTCCCAGTGAAAAAAAGCGAACCGGCAAAACTCCATCGGTCGTAAGCCACATCGAAGTATCCGTCGTCGATGGCCTTCGAAATTTCTGTGAAAAAAATATGCATCTCTTCGTCCGAAATGTTGTATTTTTCTTTCATCCGCTGCTGTACTTTGTCAAAATGATGAATTTCGCGGTGTTCAGCGCCCGACTCAATCGTTTGGAAAACTGCCGCGCCAAATAGTAAATACACCAGGAATAAAGTAGTTCTCAAGACGAGATTTTTAGTCGGGCCTTTCAGCGCCCGCAAAAAGTTTAGGAAGAAAACCCCCATTTGGCGAGCGCGGGAGCGATTAGTGAACGAAGCTCAGCTGGGCGAACTGCCCTCGCGTTCGCGGCTCCTGCTTGTTTGTGATGGGTCAGTGCGCTGAACGTGCTATTTTCTCATCCACCGGAGGTAAGGTACTCTGGTTGTCGACAATCGTGGCCTGATAAGCTAGTGACGTCACAGCTGGCAATATTGTTAGCGAGAGAAGAATGAATACCTTGATTAGAGAATATTGTGTGCGCAAATTCTGAATGTTCCTCGGTCCATTGTTAAGAGGTTGTACATAAACACAGTTAATTGGCAACGCGCGCGCTTCATTCACCTGTTTGGCGCGGGAAAACGTGTAAGCGTCGAGCTACCCCAGTGCGCGCCACATAAAAAATGACATACACGCGTCTTAAGCACTTTGGTGTTCAAGGGTCTTTGCCTAAAAAACAAACCGCGTGCAGTCCCAAAATTCTATTGTTATTAAATTTGCCATATAAGGCAAACGCAATCATTTCGAACAAGAAGATTTCCGCCATGAAGGAAATTTATCATACAAGCTTGGTTCCGGTGCTTTAATGTGAAGGCGAATTACTACCTGTCACTCGATTTTAGGTTGCTTTTAAGATGTAACGCTGGGATGATGGCGTTTTAAGAACTAAATGAACATAAAGTAGCCGAGATTTATGCGGAAAAATCACAAGTTTTCAGCGGAGAATGTGTAAATTCGAAGACCCCTCGTAGCTTTCGACAATAGAGATTGAATTGCCCGTGAAACAGAAAGCCAGCTGTCTTGGGAAAAATTGAGCAGAGATGCAAGAAAGTGAACAATTGCAAAATAAAATCTTCAGAAATCAAAATATCTTTCTAAAAGGAAAGCAGAGAATTTCTGATGTTTTCCAAATATGTTTTTACAAGGAAATTTCTACGATTCTTTGTATTTTTACACCAGGATACAATGTCTTGAATCTATATTTTAGCCTTTAAATGTCATTTGAAAAAGACTTCCTAGTCTTTCAATGGATGAAAACAGAATTTTATTTGTCTATTACCGACTGGAACTAGTTAAATTTTTTCGAAAGTAAAACTAATTTTTGTTCCCTTGTCAAGTGCGATAAAAAAAAATACTCGCAACCTATTATTTCCAAACGTGAATTATTTCGACAAAATTTGTCCAGTTTATTTAACATGTCATGTGAATTGTAATCGAAGGAGAATCAAATCGTTTGCGTCGACTCGTTCATTAATTTTTCATAAAACTCGAAGAATATAATGTAATGGTTTAACTCGTGCAAATCCATTACGGGGCTAACTGAATCAAACGGGTATCGGTCAAGGAAAGAAAAAAAAGCTTAATATATACCATGACTAGTTTAGCTTTTGAAAGAGAATACAGATAGTTGGCAAACGTTTGACAGTTGAATGTCGTTTTCTTTTCTGTTTATTCCGGTGCGCTGTCAGACTTTCTTCCAATTTGCCATAACTCTTACTCAAATGTATGTCTTGAGAACAAGAACATATTTGCATTTTGTTTCAACAAAGAAGCCCTTTTGTTGACATTTGATGTTGCTTGTCAATCCAGTCGCGCGAATCGTGGCCCTCTTGTGAGCGATCAAATTGAAAATATTGACATGCGAGTTACCTTATGATGGAAATCAAAGTTTATTATTGTTAAAAATGTTTCCTCAGATTTTCCGATATTTTTATTTTGATACCGAATGAGCAAAGTAACATTAAAATCAACACAGAAAGCCATTAACTGTTATTTTTCGTATTATTTTCCTTTGCATTCGGTTCAGGGTAATATTACAGATAACATAAGGGTGTTGTTTTCATTTCAAAACTTTTCTTGGGCACTTTTATCATATTTGAACTAATTTGTATGAAATTCAGCGCATGTAAAAGGATTTTTTGTTCCATTTTCGTACAAACGTGAGAAGATATTTCGGCGAAACCTAAGATCTGATTTATTACCACTTGGCTCTTATCAAGAAATTAATTGAAATTTTCTCTGCTGTTAGTACTTGTTAATGAAGTTGCCGATAGTTATTCGAATTTCAGCATTTATTAATTTTACGGCTTTTGGGTAAACATCATTTGTTTTTGCACATTCTAACCGAAAACCACTTAGATATCTTAGCAACGAAAATTTTTACTTCCTTGAATATTGTTTTTAATATTCCGCTGATGTATTTCAAAATCAAAACTTTTGGCCCTCAATGCAAGGGGTAACATTAAGTTGTTTTGAAAATGAATAGCATAGAATTACATTTTCAAAAGATTTCCAGAGATCTTTTTCCTTGTTTCCAATGAACCATGCTTTGAGGTGTTTTGTTCAAGCGACAATAAAATTCACGCGGAGACTACATGTTTGTCGATCGCCCACAATTTGCAAATTAAACTAAAAAATTTCTCATTGTCCAATGCGTCATAAACGTAAGATTTGAATAGCAAAACTTTCAGTTAATTGCATAACGAAAATTTGAAAATACTCTTGGGTCAGAATAAAAGAAGTTAATTTTCGTGAGAAGAAACGAGCTGGGTATCCTTTTGAAACAACTACATAATCCCTGTTCTGGTGCGATAGGCACGTACAGGAACTTGTTCTAAATAAATAGGAAACACTCTTCTCCGCCGGTGGCTTTTTGATGAAAGAGTTTTCATTTCAAAATGAAGTGGAAAAAGACATACAGTCTGTAGACAATCACGAACTCATTTGTATAGTCACACAAAAATATCAGATTTAAAGAGCTAATGAGGCTTGAATACAAAATAAACAACGAAAAAGAAAACCGACTGATCTCTGTTTTAAAGCATGTTTTCATGGCACAAAGAAAACTCGATGAGATCTCACAACATTCGTTACTTTGCGGGGCAAATTAAAATCTAGAAATAATTCCATGGTGTAGTTTTATTCCAATTTCGCGGATTGATTATTTTACAGGTAATCTTTGCTTTAGTGCGGTTTTGCAAATTAATCTACCGAACATGTCGAAGAAATAAAACAATGCATTCAAAAAGTTCATAATGGGAGACGAAATGACATTAGAGCAAGCTTACGCAGAGAAATTTCTCCTACGCAACATCTGTCATTAATTGATCGAAGTCAAATTGTGTCTCATAACACAATATTTCTTCCAGAAGAAAATGTGTTGTTTGAAAAGAGATAGATCTTTTGTTATTGATAAAAAATTTTCCTCCTGCTGCGACGAACACAAATATTTGTTAGCTTTTTCTCAAAGGAGGAAGCTTAATTGCCAAAATACTACTATTCTTGGCCGTTCAGAGCGTTATGAAAGATCATTTGGGTAACATCGCAGCCAATCTGTGTCAATAGTTCTTATCGGCTTTCACTATTAAAGGATCATAAATTTCAAATGCGCTTCGCCGCACTTTTTCTTTCAACAGATCATGAAAAAACTCATTTCTCTCGAGGTTATGAAACAATTGAAACAGACTTAAACTGGATTAAAATTTAGCTTGAGTATAGCAGTCCCTTCGGACTTAGATTGATGATTTTCAGAGTTGAATACATAAAGTTGGCATTTTTATGTAGGTTTGGTATTTTTTAAATACATTTCCTATTTTCTACGGACAAAAGAAGCTGCTCGTTATAAAATTTGGTCTCTTTTTGTAAACTCACACGAAATATTAAACTTCTCGGAAAACGTATAACTGAAGTACAATTGGACATACCTGAGTAAATTTTGAGAAAAATTATAATAAACCGGTAATATATTTTTTCTACCTTGCAGTTTAAGGGTGCATTTCTTCCCGTAAGCCCGCTTTAAATATCATCCTTTAGGGAAACATAGCTGCTGAGATCAACAGTTCTGTGTTCCAACTACTCGTGACTTCGTTCGGAATCTGAAACTCTCAATGTCTATCATTTTGGTCTCCTTTGATTTAATCGCTTTGTCGTTATTCTATAAACTTGTATCGTCTAAAGCAATTTCTAGAGAGAAGCAAGAAAAGCCATTCGATTGTGTTTCGTTTGATGCCCCTCCGTCGGAGAGCCCGCAGTCTCTATGGCTGATCAACAATTTAAAGATCGGTTTCCAGGACAATTTCCCCGTACCTAACCCCATCCCCTTATTCTATCCTGACCTTGTCTGAGCCAGCGAGCAGACTCTTATTATTACCGCTGCAGGATGCGCGTTTGTCTAGATTTGCCCGCAGGAAAATTTTAGACGAGTTGGAAATGCGAGCCTTTTACTCGTGACGTGACATTCACTTGGCACATGAACTGTGATCATGTAATTGGAACGCCAGACCTAGTGTCCTCAATTTGGCGCAAAAAACCCCCACCCCATTTTATTCCATGGAAATAAAATTCGATGCCTGTCTTGTTTTGAACACCTAAGGCAATAACTGCTTCTTTTGCCCTTTGGACCCTCTCAGAGTGATTAACATCTTATTTTAAAAAATCATAAATTAGTGAGCAGCTATGCAAGCATCAAAATAAACGCGTTTCGTCTGACAATAGTAGACTTCCTTAGGGAACGTTGAATAGGGTCTTAATAAGTAGAGTATATATTTTCGATCCTCACACTTAGTCTGAAGCAGGTCTGTGACACCCAAACACATCACGTACTCTTTTACATGTAACGTTCGAAAAACGTCACGCATGTATAACATCTTTGTCATGTATAACATCTTTATATTTTTTCATAACTGATCCTGTATTTTTGCCAATTTTGATCCTTCACAAAAACGTTGAGAATTTTAATCGATCACAAAAACATTGAGAATTTTGATCTTCCCAAAAACGTTCACAATTTTGATCTTTCCACTAAAACACTGCTCAAGTGTTGTGATCCCAGATCCCGGGGCTGTGATCCCTGATCTCATATACCTTGTTACGACCCTGTTATTGCGCTCCTAGCTCAGGTAGCTAATGCGCCGAGTCAAAAAAATAAAATATTTGTATATTAAAAAGATGAAAGTCGATTAGAAAATATTTACATCTGAAAGTAATCATTTCGCAAAAATTCCCTTGCATTATCGAAGAGTTAAAAATTACGGCTTCGAAAATAAAGGAAATAACTGATGGTTAAACAAATTCTCCTTGTCAGTACCGCAGGAAATGTTTAGAGACATACGAAGGCAGGATGTATAGCGTCTGATTTCAAAGTCCGTCCCATCCCTGCCTTGGTCTAACGCCATCACTACCGATATCAACGCGCTTCCAAATTGAACACGCTCTTTGAAGTGGAATCTTACCCGTGACTGCCAAGCGTTTCCGTTTGCTCTCTGTACGAAATGCCAATAGCCTCGCAAATCAGACGAGGTTTCTACGGTGTTACAACGAAAAAGCCGGTTCGGACGGCCGCCGCTTATGTGATATCTTTGGTGGTCGGAATTCTGTTGCTGAGGAGATTGTCGCAGCGAGGTACGTCGAGTTTTCAGCGTAAATTATAAATTTAAGTTGTGTTCAATTTTACTCTTTTATGCCCGTGGGATGTATCGTTTATCGCAAACCAAACTAACTTCGGTTTATTGTTTTACCATCGGGTAACATTTTGTAGATGTCTAGTGTTACATAATGGACATCGATACCGGAAAAAAAAAAAAAAACAGAACCCTCATGCCGGCCGGTAGCTACCTATTTTTTCCCAAACCCATAGCTTTATGTTTTATCTGGAATGGCTTTTCTGTCAAGGCATCACTGAAATTTGAAGCCGCCATCATAGTATTACACAAAGGTATATTGATGAAAGAATTCGCGATCACGAAAAATGGACCTTGGCAAATTATACTTCTGATTATCAGCCTAAATCGTTCCCACCCTCGGTGAGGTGTTTCCCTACCCCGTTAATTATTTTCTTTTACTCTTTGTTGATAATGATTTCGTTTTATTTGAATTTAATTTCGGACAGATTAAGAGGCATTTAAATTGCGACAGTTCTTTCAGATAACAATATCCTGCTGTTGGCAAACCAACAGATATGTCACAAATTTACGAAAACTGGCTTATCCAACAGATTTATACTTTGAGTAAAATTATTTCCTTTCAAACATTGATCCGTTTTCCGCCCAATACACAAAGCAAACAATAGGTTTGTAAACCAACAACTGTGATATCTTGGGCTGAGATGTAGTAATAATATAACTTTGTATTGCGTGACTCGACACATCACCTTGACTGTGTCACGCTTCTAAGTTAACACACGAAGAGCCTTACTGCTTACTAAATCCCGAACAATTAGGTAAATCTGCAAAATTTCGCAGGAATAAATTTAAAATTCAAAATTTAGTGTCACACCTCGTCAACTTTGAAAAGGGGGGAGGGGGGTCCCACATTTTAGTGATTTCGAAACGAATTCCTGTTTTATCTTTTGTCTACCTCCGTAGATAAAATTATTTATATACTTTTGCTTATTGTTGCTAAATTTTTGGGGTTCATATTTTGAATACTAATTATGATTTTCGACGCCGCGTGACTCGACGATAGTTTTTTCGTCAGTGGTCACAGTTGACTTAGGAGCGTACAAATAAAATCAGACCTCTCTAAATGTAGAATTGCAGCTAGAAGCCTCATGACAGTCTGCAGTTGTAGAACGATTAATGAGCGAAATCATCAATTTCGGTCCGTGGATTCTTTTTCCATATTCCTAACTTATCTGAGACGATGTCATTATTTATCACGGGGGGGGGGGGGGAATTATACAGTTTTTAAGAGGGAATGGAGAAGGGGATCAGTCGTTGCCAAATGAGAATAAAGGGCGGGACTGTAGGTAATTGACTGCCATTATCAGGTAAATTTTATCGTGACAAAGCCAACCCTCACCTCCCCCCCCCCCTTCCGTGCCTGGGGCCATATCATTCTCTAACTTAGAGTACTTGTCCAAATTATATACACGCTGAAGAAACTTAGCCATGAAAATTAAATTTCATCGCTGCTAAAAAGTAAAGATCTAGAATTGTGGAAAGGATTAGTTTTTTTTTCAGAACACAAAGAGGAGTTTTAATAGAGAGGTGAACGAAGCTTAGGGTTAGCTCTAAAGGGGCCAAACTCATTTGATACTTTGTGTTTTTTTGTAATTCTATTCATTTGGTGTCTTTTTATTTAAGATTACGAGGACACAAATTCTAGTCTAACTGCAGCTGCACATGAGCACAAAACAGTAAGTACTTAACCTAACCGTCTCACAAAAAGACCTTGGAAAAACCTTGATCAACGATTGGGTAAATGCTACAACATAAATCAAAATTCTGAAGTGTTTGACTATTGTTACCCTCCTGAGGAGCAAAGACCTCCTAAAACTTGACTCACTGCCGACGTCTGACTTGTTTTTCTGTTGGTAGAAGCACTTTTTTAAGGTGACATTGGTTACAATTAAAGTCCTGTTAGCGCCTAAATTCCTCCCAAAAGTCATTTAGTAGTTTCATTAATTGTCACTTGCTTGTAAAGATGAGAACTTGACAATCTTACCAGCAAGTCTTGCATTGGCTCTCTTAGGAACTGATCATTATTTATCGACGGAGGGTGGGGGGGGGGGGGGAAAGAAACTAGCCCCCCCCCTCCGTTCCCCCTGAAAACGATCTGATCCCCCTAAAAAGAACCTCCGATTCTCCCCTTCCAGCCGATAAATAATGGCTGTCCTTATTGATCGGGATTTATTACTCCAAGTTTACAGTTTATTTATTAGCAATACTCCTCAGTTCCTCTCTCAGACAAAAAACTTCACAAAGACTAGCCACTAAGCTGAACACGAGTATCGAAGCACCCCACCCCCCACGGATTCATAAGCCAGACGGTCGTGCTTTTTACGTCAACCTCGTTATTAGGATCTGCACCACGTAGCTAGACAGAGGACGCACGTAAAGGAGAGGAACTAAGAAACAAAAAAAAAGGCGCATTTTTATCGTAATCAATGTATTTATGTTTCTTTTAAAAGTTATACGCCATAAGCCTTAAAGATCTTCTCTGGAATGCTTAGCTATTTAAAAGGAAGGATGCATCCAAACACGACTGCCTTGAATTGGTACAAGCTTCCCTCAGCATTTTCAAGTTTCAGTTTTCTGTAGCAAATCACAGTTCGTTTCATGTTACAGGTGAACCAAGACAAGATCCAACAAGATCGACTTGAACGGATCCGAAATTACTGCAATGCATCAAGAAACAACAAGAACATCTTTCACAAACTTCCTAATCGAAATCATTTTAACTTTGTCGTTAGTGAGAAGCACAAGTTTATTATCTGCTATGTGCCAAAAACCGGCTGCAGCCAGTGGAAAGATTTACTTCTGAACGTTCTTGCAGTTCGCCCGGTTACACCGAACCATGACATCTCTTTGTTTGATTATTCAATCTTTAAATTCTTGAACGAGTTTTCAGTAGAAGAAAGGAAGAAAATGCTGGAATCTTATCAGAAGTTCTACTTTGTTCGGGAGCCATTTGAAAGATTACTATCGGCCTACCGGGATAAATTTGTTGGTAAAACGACTCACTTATATGAGACAGTTGCCCGGAAAATAATTCAGAAAGTTCGCGGTGTTGGTCGAGACAACGAGAACGGTGGAAGACCAACTTTAGCAGAATTTACCACTTATCTTAATCAGTTACCAGACCCTTCCTCGTGGGATATGCACTGGCGCCCAGCCCACCAAACCTGCTACCCATGCGCCGTTGATTATAACTATGTAGGCTACTTTGACACCATCAAGGAAGACGCTGATTATATTTTAAAAAAGTTACAATTGGATGACCAGTTTCAATTTCCAGCATTTAGATCTCACACTTCAGTGTTGCTGGAAAAACACTATTCCCAGATCCCACTGCACCAAATTGTCAAACTCGCAGATATCTACCGGGAGGACTTCGAAATGTTTGGTTTCAAGTACCCCGCTACCATCAAAAAGCTCTTTAAGGACTGGGTATGAGATGTCGCAAAATTGGAGAGGTTAGGGACCAGTCACTATTTTTCGCCTGGATTTGGGGGGGGAGGGTATTTCGCCAATTAACTGCCAATGGGAGGGGAGTAGCATAAGAATATTACAGAGCCTCAAGGGGGAATCAGATAAATTTTACGGCGACACAAACGAAATCCTCCGACCCACTCGTCCCCCGGTGACAAATAATGACAGGTCCCTCAGATTATATCAAAGCAAATTAACGATATATATTCCTTACAGAGGACAGATAGGTTGGCGGAATCTATAGGAGATGAAGTTAAAAGACTAAATCTCTCATTTCCTAGGGAACTCCGTCTTCCCACGTTATACTTCTAAAAGAAAACTGATTTGGGACATCATAGATCAATTCAGAGATACTAGGTCTTCTTCTCAGTTGTTATTCGCTCTTATTACGCAACGCTTTCAGCATGCTGGATTCTTATCAAAAGTCCGCCTCTGTGCGAAGTCGTTACTAATGGCGCCGGAATTAATTTTTTTCGGGAATAGGATCCTTTTTTTTTCAGTTTAAAACGATGGCATGGGAAATGATTCGTAACCGCAGTGATAGCAGAGGCAACGAATATTGTGAAAAAGCAACGTTTGCAGAGCTAGTGTTAGATATAAACCCTACATGGTTTTGCTTGAGCAAGAAGAAGGACATTCCACGGACGAGCTTTGCTATTGTAAATGACTTGAAAAGGAGACTTGACGAGGACACGGATAATTTTCCTTGGCAAAATGAACCCAACACCCCCTTTTTTTCCCTTTTCTTGCCATGTCCAAGGAAAACCTAATTGATGGTTGGAATTTGTGAGCTTAGGGCTGGATTTTGATAAAATCAATATTAAAAAAAATTTGAAGACGGTGGGAAAATGAAATTGTTTGCCAGTGCGGGTTTAATTTCCACTGACAACTAACTAATCGGACGGAAGAACTTAACAACATATGAGAGGAACACAATATCCTCTTTTATATATTTGATGGCTTTTTTAGAGGGAACCAATTCACAAGTGTATTCCATAGTGCAGTACTGTTTGTCTGTTCTGTTTTAGATCACAGACATGATGCTGTTAAAATTTTCCAGAAAAACGTACCAGACCTTACAAGCCAGAGAGGAGTGTGTTACTTATTTTCTCATTAAATTTCGATATTCTCCGTGCACTAAAACTAAACAGACACACGGTTTAATGGAATCTTTTTTTTTTTAATAAAAAGGACAAAGAACTGATGAAAGTGAAATTACAAGCTTGCCTCGTTTTGATCAGTGGCTCGAGGATTTGTTCTATGTCAGATCTTATTTAAGACGCCAGGAGATCTTCCCATCTCGTCTTTTTCCAGAGAGAAGCTCCTGGTAAACCTTTCCTACTCTCCAGCTCATTCCGAAATAATTTTTATGATAAAAACAGTGCGTCGTCTTGGACCAAAGAAAAAATATCTTTAAGAGAGGTTGGGTCTATACACTAATCGATCGTAGGAACTACCGAGTACAGCGATCGAAGGAGTAGTTTGTTTTAAAGAGGTCATCACCATTTGACTCGGAAGCGGAAAAAGTTGTGCGTGGGTTAAAGAGTATAAAAGTGCCACTAGATCGAAAATGAATGAAACTGTATACTGTGAGTGGGCAAATATATTTCATTCTCAAAACCTTCTGTTGATAAAGAACCGGTTCTTTGGAAACAAACCTCGTGAAAATGTTTTTCAGTCAATGATTCGCAAAGAAATATCACTTGAACTTAGTACAATAAAATATTCGATCCTCACTTTGTCTGACCTCGTCCACAATTAGTTCAAATTGATAATGAAAAACTTTGTGGGCGGGGAGGTTTTTAACTCATTGATGGAGCAACATTGGACGCAACTGTTGTCTCGTGACGTGTATAACCCCATACATGCTATCTGAAACTGAGCAAAGATTATCGGCGAAAAGGTAGCTAAAAGTCGTAATTTCGATCGAAACAAACCGTCTCATTAGTGTAACACACTATCATAAACGAATTTTGATTTTGTTTGGTGCCAGTTGGGACTAAGATGGGAATGACGTTGGTTCTCTTTAATAGGACAACCGGCGGTTTGCTGTGATAGATGGCTTCCTAAAAAGCTTTTTATAGAAAAGAGATTCCGAGTATTATTTACCATCTCCAGAGAGAGGTCAAATGTTGTTTGAAAGAAAGAAAAGATTGATTGACGTGTTTTTAAGTAGGGAAGGCCCTAATTTCCTTTTGTATTATCTCTGAAAAGGAAAAAAGTTATTACCAGTGTAAAAAAAACTCATAGAAAGGTCAAACAACGACAAATCTTGCCTTAACGCATCGATGTCGATGCAATACTTCGTGAGAAGGATTATTAATTTATTTCAAAAACTTCGCCGACGCCTGTCGGGCAAAGGTGTCGTTTACAGGCCTTTTAAAGTCACGTTAAAAGTTTGCTATATATCAGATTACAAATCCTCTTAATAAATATTCATGGGCAAATGTTCACAAGTCTTTTTGTTTTCCGATTGGTTATTCAGTCAACATCGCCAAGTCGTAACAAAAGGTTTACGCGCCATTCAAAGAACTGAGTTTACCGTCTACCTAGCGAGTTCACGCATCTTAATTTTCGACTGTAAACTCGAGTTAAATCGATAGCCGGGTTTAGGATGAAAAAGGAAACAAAGCGACTGTTAATTCGGGGGATTCTTTTCGTGCTTTATTTAACATTAGGCATGGTGGTTTTTAGACAACTCGAATCCCACAACGAACAACTTGGTATACGGAAGGCGAAGAGAGCTATAGAAGACATGTTGGTTAAGTACAACATAAGCCATCAAGAGATGAAAGAATTCGTTGAAATCATAACCGAGGCAGAAAGTTGGGGCTTCACAAGTGGATGGTTAGAAAAATGGAGCTTTATCGGATCACTTTTCTTCTCCGGAACTGTCATTACAACAATCGGTGAGAATATTTTTTTTAACATATATATAAGCTTATTGCTTATAATCTGATGCCGTGAGCGATGAAAACTCACTTTAAAAAAAAGTTTAAACTGGACAAAAGCCATAAAGTAAACTACACTTATTTCATGACAAGTCGGTTATACCATTATTTCATTTGGAAGAGAAGTTTTCTTTCATATTACTATCGAGTCTAAAACGCCGGTAAAATGAGACAACCTATTTTTCCATAAAAACATTTTTTCCTTTGATCGAATTAGTTTTTGAATTGGCATATTATGAGAAAAGCAATAATTTTCCTTCCTCAAGACTAAATGAGAGTACTAAATGGTTGGGGAAGTCAATGTTTTGTCCTAGTGAAATGGCCTTTTACATATTGCGAATATTTAAATAAACTTTTCTTTTATTACAATTAATAAAAAAAAGGGATTGTAATCGAAATTTTGTAGGCGAAAAGCTTCGCACAAAAAAAAAGCAGTCAAGTTGTTTTGGGATCAAGCAGCGATTAATCGCAGTAGTCTGTTATACAAGAGAAATCGTATGTTATGTTTTAAAGATCTTAAGTCAAATTCAAATTAGCACGTGGCAAAAGTTAGGTCAAGGAACTGTAAATAATAACACGAGAGATGGGCATAAATTAATGACAAAAGCGCGTGAAATATTTGTGTATGAATGACAATATTTCTCTACGCTGTTCAAACACCAGTTCATTTTAAAACGTTCTCCATTAATCATTTTAAGTTTGCACTTACAAAGTTGTTAAGGCTGTCTAATTACAAGCGCAAAGTTGAAATTTGTTCAAGTTTATTCCTGACGCTATATTTGTAACGCCCTCTGCTTTGACCTCAATTCTCTTGAGGGATTTTAACACTTTTCTAAATGCCTTTTAAATTCATCCTTGCTTTCATTAATTATTGAAAAGAACTGAAACGATGTACACCTGTTTGAGCGACCAAATTTTTTTATTTTTTTGCACAAACCATCAAAGACAATACTTTTTTTCAGAGTTTTCTTTTAAAGTAATCATAACCTTAAAAAATAGTTTTATTTTGATTCCTTTCTTCCAATATTTACACGTTGCATGATGCATGATTATGCTAATCCCTTACAAACGGCTCCCATACGATCGTACGAATCGGTCCGATTGCCTCCGTTTTTGAGTCGACTGGGATGATTCGGGCGGTCGTATGGACATTACGCACGTACCCGGTTCTACTCGGATGATCGAGGTACTCGCAAACTGATTCATTGGTTGACGATTGGCCTAAATTCCAGATAATCATCCTTGTCTCTTTAATGAGCTCTATTTGAAACGATCGAAGAGTATGGTCAAACTAAATTCACAGAGGCAGTGCGTCTTAGCGCATGTAAGTCTAGACATTCTTGTAAGAGGCAAATGCTATCAGCAATCAGAAAGGTTTTTTTAATTTTGCCGTTTTACACCAAGGCATGACGAATAAAAGTATAAAAGCATGTCGACAAAGACAGAATCAAGCTGAAAAGCTGAATCCCTCATTATTCAAAACTAATTCCTTCTCAGTTAGAGAATCTCGGCTTGCTTCTCAGTGTATTTTTTGACCACAAGGATCTGGTGACTTGTGCGATTCAGCGTGCAATTTTTAAAAACCTCGAAAGAATCCCCGTATAAAGTCAGTGTGCTGTGGCGCGAGTGGGGCTGTGCAAAGCTGCACTGCTCTGTATGTGGCCATGCGACTCTGATGCAAAATACAAGAAGGCAGATTTGGAGGCGTCCGTATGATAGAAAGCTAATCGAATGAGATTAAGAGAGCCAGACGGAAAAGTATTTGGCTTTAGTAAAAAAGATCTCGAGCAAAACCTGTTCCCATCTGGCCCTCTTACTCAGTCAAAAAGTACATGGTACATCGCACGTTTCTTGAATGTTTTGATGGAAAGCCCACTAGACGCCTCAGGGATGTTCACGCGAGCAAAACTTACAATATCCCCCTGGAATCTCCGTAGAAGGTAGTGATCTGAAAATAACTGGAGAGGAATGATGATTCTTAGAACGTCAACCTATGAGCTTTATCTTATCTTCGTTAGATGCGATCAATAAATGGAATCTAACCGTTTGTCTCCGATATTCTTTTTATATGCATTGCGAGGTTTCGACTGCGTACTGCCTTTTTCAGCCAGTAAGGTCGACTGGGTACGCGTCACACCGTGAAACATTTAATTCCACAGTGACTGGCTCGATTTTTAAAGCTCTGATTAGCGCATTTCGAAGATGAGTTTTCACACAGATCGGCTGTCTCACAGTTCTACTCCTATATAAGTTTGTGAATAATGATTATCTGATTATACTGGATAGGTTATGGACATTTCGCTCCAAGAACGTTGTCAGGTCGTCTGTTCTGCATGGCTTACGCTTTTTTTGGTATACCGATCACGTGGTTGATGCTGACGTCATTAGGTCGAAAAATCGTGGAGCACATTGGCTTGGCACTGCAGAACAGAGAATGCAAACCAGAAAGCAAGCTGTTCAGCCTGTTTTGTCTGCTTGTTGCTGTACTGCTGGCAGCCGTTGTTATGGGCATCATCGCCATAGTGGGAATGTTTGCAGAGGACTGGACATTCTTCGAAGGAATATATTTCGCTTTCATAAGTTTAACCACCATCGGATTTGGCGACTATGTTCCCATGCATCCAAAGTTTGATCCTGAAGATGCAGAGCGATCTTCGTTCGTGATATCTTTGTTTGTTTTATTTTGTCTTCTGTTGTTTTCCTTCGGGCTTGCTGTCAACACTAGTGTTCTATTATCGATACGAAAAATCATGGAAGATAAGGCAATTTTTGGTTTTCAATCGCTATACAGTACGGATACTGACGGAGAGACAGACGTTGAAGAGGAAGTAACTAGAATAACAAGATTAGAATGACTTGGACTTTATTAAGTTATTATTTTAACAAAAAGGGAGAGTTAAGTAAATTAAACAGGCAAAAATAACTCATCAAATGCCAGACCCCTCATCACTTTCAAATAATTTCAAACTCAAATAATCTGATTTCTTGGAGAAAGAAATGCACTTAACTCGCGTTTTGCTTGAACGTTTGGGCCGAAGAACGGAGGAACAGCGCAAGGAATTAATAAAATTGATGACACAGGTGTGTTTGCCCATTTCGAGATTCCCTAGAGATCTCCGTAAAGCGAAGCTGACAAAGAAATCATTTCTTTATTGAACAACTTAAAAAGAATTTCCTTCGATTTAAAGCCCTAGATGAAGCTTAATCCTATCTCGTAAAAAGATAATCAGGGATAAAATATCTCAGTACCCTGAAAAAGAAATACAAGGATTTAGCGGCATGCGGAGATGTTCCATGAAGACAACAAGACAGCAAATAGAATAAGTTACCCGCGGAACCAGATTCCGACCATCTTTAAAATAAGTTGAGCATTCTACTTCTGTTGCAATAAACTTTATGTATTGTTTTAAAATAAAAGCAAAAAGTTCTCTATTTTTGGAGTGTAACAATAAAGCCTTACCAATCTAATGAACATTAATTCCATAGCCTATTCATAATTATTTGTCTCCCCTCCCCTGCGTCCAGCAATACTACAGGGTCGCTATCGGAAAACTTTTTGCATCTCGGAACATATGACGTCCACGGAAAAATATCCGGACATATTTTCGCGCCAAATGGACTGATTGTTTATTTATAGTGTCGCTTCTAGAATGAAGATAAAAAGCATAAGTTGCCTCCGGCGATTTCTTCTAATAAACGAACCATTCTGCGGTCTAATTTGCCTCCAGAAACTGCAGTCGAATTTGCTTGAAAAATATCATAAGTTTATAACAAAATCACCAGGAGGAGACAGGAGTTTATCCATCTTTGAAAGTTAACTCCTTGTTTCCTTTTCCCTAACATGTTTTTGTTGTTTTTATTTACGCTAGAGAAACATTTGAAAGGAGGAAATACCATTTTCGTACATCAAAAATCCATTTTATTTTAGATTCAAATTCAGCGCCAGAATGTCTAAAATGCTTCCTATGACAGAGGTTACCCGAAACATCTTTTGTTTATTTCTATTGCATTGACGCAAAGTACTTCGCAAAGCAATTCAACAAGGTATTACTTTTAATTGCCTTTTGACCGGTCTTAAATTCCTGTTCCTGTTTTTTAACAGAAACCGAAAAAAAAGTAGACATAAAAAGTTAACTACGCCACCCGGTGTCCAAGAAATACGTTTTTGCGTAAGTACACAAACACAATTGCGTAAACATGCACAGAACACCTCACTCTGAAATCACAGTCGCTTTGACGCTGTTTAAACCTATACCGACACTTGAAAATAATACTTACAGATCCGATGAAAAAGGGTAAGCCAGTGGTGAAGTCTTACGAATGAAGTTGTCATTTTCCTGCTATACTTCGTATCGCATTTGGGAATCAAAGTAATGTGAACTTGAAAGCTCATCTGGTCGCTTTCAGCGTTTAAATATTCGTCGTTTTCCAAAGCGAACATCCTTCAGCATATTCCCTTTTCATTTTGAGGTCCTCAAGGTCTCTTTCAATTCGGAAGGAATAAAAACTGGCAAACTGGACGGGAACTTTGAAGTCGATCGCAGAGAAATTTTGTTTGCCAAAGCATTTATTTGCTGACGTCACAAGCGTGCATAATAGGATATGAAACATGCTCGCGCAAATAAAGTAGATGCTTTTAATTGAGAATCCGGACACATTTTGCATAAATATACTTAATAGATATGATATCTAATACTTGATTATACTTCCCTAACTACCTAGCAAAGTTCGTCGTCAAGCTAAATTTTCCGAATCTTATACTAACACCTTATTAGATTATAACGAAAAGCCAACCAAAGCTATTGCCAGATACACAACATACCAGATTTTTCAGATTGACGAAGTTCGCAAACTAGCAGCGAGCAGTAGATTCTTTTTGAGGGATCAGAGTGGGCAATCCCGCGAAAACAGAAAAGGCCTGTCGCACCGCCATTTGGCGAATCATGACTGTGTTGATATGAATGCTCTTAAGGCAAATAAAGTTAGGCGGAGTTTAAGGTTCGTTTTAACAGCAATAATTTATGCTTAAGGGGACTAAAACTTCACATTCGATTTTTCTTCTAGGAGGCAAAGCATAAAGTTACTCACAGTTTGGCGTTTTTTCGATAATGGGTAAATGAATAATTTTTAACTTAATTCATTTGTGTACAGCAATTCACAGAAGTAACCTGGAAGAAAACGAAAATAATGTTTTTAAAGGCGAAGAATTTTTTTTATAAGCTGGCAAGACTAACCGGAAATTGAAGACTATGTAAATACAGCTGAGAAATTGTTCAAGAAAGATTTTCGTAATAAGAACGAGTATAAAGAGTTATAGCAATTGATGATGATGTGAATTTTTACGCGATTGATATTTGTGGAATGTGTTCATCAAAAAAACTTAAAGTATTCAACGCCAGGATTAAAATATTTATTTGAAATGGTTTGATCTGAAATCCAAATCAATCTAAGATAATACAGTATAAGTTTAAGACCCTATTATTCAACTTTTGATGTGATATAGCTTTTTATAGGTGTTTCTAAACAACTGGTTAGCTTAGCTCAATCATTTCAAAGCCTACATCTATTGTGGCTTTTAACTCGCGGAATTTCCAACTGCATAGGAAAAATAAGATAAATCTGGCGATGTTAAATTTGATCAGAACGAAAAAAAAGTCGCCAATGGGCGTAAAGCTGTGTTCCCCATTGTTTTAATTTCTTTTTATAAACGGGTTGGCAAACGTATTAAAAAGCATAAAACAACACTTTACTATTAACAACTGAGATTCCCTCCTGTTTTTTCCAGAGATATGACGGAAAACATATTTGCTATCCATGTTGCTGGCTTGGCTTTTCACACGGTACCACCAATAAGAAAGGTCATTCACAACTGGGGAAAGTAAATTTAAGCTTTTATTAACGAAATTAAAAACTTTTAACTGCAATGGGAAATTGGATCTTTGTTGTCGAGAGTGCGTGGGCAGGTAACGCATGCGCAACGAACACTTCGTCAATTTCCGATGACCGGTAATTCATCGGTCCTACATAGATCATATAACGGCACATGTTTGGCTCATTGTACTAGACGATTTCCTGCAAACAGCGAAATACAACGGCACTGACATCCCCCATACTGCGTTTAATTACCTCAAAACACGTTTAAGAGAATGGCTTGACAAAACTGAGGAAACAACAGAAAATTGGCAGGAAAAAGCTTCGTCTCCGAAGAAGAAAAGCCACTGGCTTAGCACAGCGAGATTTACACCATAAACGACGCCTGAACGTGAATAATAAAGCGAAACGAACCATTCATAGCATGTCAAACGCAAAATTAAATGCTGACAACGAGCTTTAATCGACATTGACCAGGAGGCATGTGGATCGCAGAAAGCTCGAGAAATCTGGTAATTCAAATAGCTTTATTCCTTGTTTATATATTTTTGGGAGCTGTCGTTTTTCAAGCGTTGGAGTCGCAAAATGAAGAGGAGGAACGTAAAGCGATGGTCGTGGCGCGAGATCGTTTTCAGGAGAAATACAACATTTCTCGAGACGACCTAAAAAATTTCATCGATCAAATCGAGCAGATAGCGGATCACGGTTTTAGCCAACACTGGATCAGACGATGGACAATATTGGGTTCGTTGTTTTTCGCAGGAACCGTTGTGACTACTATAGGTGGGTTGATTATTGAATCAAGCTTTGCATCTGTCATTTGATAGAATTTCCTGGTTGCCCTATAATCGTTCGCTAAAAAAATTGCGATCGAACAACGACAGATAAGTGAGTTAGCGTAGTTTATAGAAAGACACAACTTACTTTGTATAGACAGAAAACAAACCCTGTTTGTCAAAAAGTCTTTCACTAGAAAATTTTATCGTTCTTTAGTTTACAATTTTTTGAAAATACATTATTTTCCATTTAGAAGCTAATTATTCGAGAGACTTTCTTTTTAATGAGTTTTTCTTACAGAGATGAAAAGCTTTCTTTTTTGCCTCATTAATATTCTCCAAGTAGGGTGTCCGTTTAAATTATTACAGATTCAGAAAAAACTATTTTCATTTCCAGTCTGGTTGTTCGTTTATCACATGTCGACAACAAAGGTAATCTTTCTAGACTCCATAAGTATTTTTTCTAAATAATATAACTAACCCCCGGGAAAATTTAAACTGAAAAACTACTCAATATATGTCTTATTGATTCCGCACTACATAATTCATGCAAATTCATGTAAATAAGATATTTCATTTTTTTCTAATTACATGTAAGAGTCATCCTTCAGTCTTGATATTAACTGAAAATTAAAATGGTTTCTGGAGGTACTACATCCAAAATTCCGTTGAATTTTTTATGCCGTTTGGAAGAGCGTTCAATGATTCAGGCAGAAGGAAAGGAGTTTTTATAGCAATGTTTTTGTAACTTTTGAAATATTTCGAATCAAATTTTGTCTTATCATGAGAAACATTTTTTAACTTCATGTTTCAAACTTCTTATCACTTAAAAGCGATATAAATGCTTGTGTGAAAACACCCAAAAAAACGAGATAAGGCTATTGTTGTTGATCACTCTTTTATGTAGAGTATGTATATGCGATGTAATATTAATAATTTAAGTGGTCCAATATTCCGTCTGTGGTTTGAAAAGCTTTTCATTTAATTTGCCAAAAATGTCATACATTTCCCGATTTGACCGACAAGGCGAAACTTTCATGGATGAAGATTGCATTTCACTGGCCATTTTACAAAACAAATATGTATTTAGTTTCACGGATTGTTACCGATTTCAAGATTTTTGTTCGATGAACAATTTCTGGCTACCTGAAAAACGTGATAATTTAAGAAAAAGTTTATCGCTGTTATCAATTTCTGCAGAAAAAAAAAGGTTAAATGGTGTATTGCAGAAACACCCTTAACAGTTCAAACCTGTTTTTCATTCATTTTCGAATTTCACAGTATTATTTCTCTTTTTGGCTGAAAAATAAAGAACACCAGATCAATTTCAGAGAATATGAATCCCGTTAAAACCTTTTAGGGATGTTTAATGAGTAGAGTGCTCAACCAAAATAACACGACAGAGTTCCTATCTTCATAAAGATCACTCACTTTTCACTTTGAAATAACGATTCACTTGACACAAATCTGAGTTTTAATTTTGATTTGAGAGATGACAATTCGCTCACTTTACAATTACAGGGAATTTAGTTTTCGGTCAAAAAAAATTAACGATAATGCCGGCGACAGAACAATTTTTGATTTTTTTCAATCCTCATATACAGATTTATTTTGATTCAGTAGAATGAATATACGGAAAAAGGGTCTGAATAGAAAACAAAAGGATGTAAATCATTTGTTGTTTATGCCTTAGGGTTTTGGTCTCGTGCGAAACATTATTGACTCGTTTCGATGTTTTTGGTTCTTTTAGAGATACAATTCTCTTTGGAAATTTTCAAAGTTAAAGTCCATCAGTGATTGAAGGCGTTTAGAATACATTTTTATTGTAAGTGGACAAAAATTTGCTTTAAAATTACTCCAGGTGTTTTTTCGGCAGCAGCGAACCCCGCAAAGATAAAACATTCTTGATGGCTATTTAACGCCAGTTTTTGCGTGGGAATGTTTTGTGGAAACAAAGCTGAAAGACGTCAGATATTCATGGAAGTCTCAGCGTGTTTTCCTGTCTCTTAGTCTCTTTTATGTCCCTTTTATCGATGAGAAAAAATCAGGGATAGAACTTGTAGCGAAAAAGGTTTCGTGTTGTTTGCGGTTTTATTCTGGTTAAACCTTGAATGCCATCGTGTCCGCTCAAAACCGATTAAAGCTAATCCAAGAATTAGGACTAATTGAGGTCATAATTTTCAATATTTTGATCAGTTTATCATTGATCATGTCTCCAGAAACTGAGAGAAAATACATTATCAATATGGTGGACCGAAAAAGTGTCGAAATTGACCAAAAATTCCCTCCCACTGTCCTTGGTCATTTTCATTTCGCTTCGTAATTTAGTTTTGCTCCTTTTTCAAAGGTTTTTTTTGTTTGCCTAAAGAAAAAATAAGATGTACAGTCCCGTGATTGAAAAAAAAGTTTGGCCAGTAAACAGCTCTGATTGTCAAAATCAAAACAGTTATTTACAGCTCCATTACGTTTGTTTCCTACAGGTATATCAAACTCATTAGGAGAAACACCCTTGAGCTAGTTTGACACTCAGCGCCAAAGAGGCGACTTATCCCACTAAGGTGCAGGAACGTAAGGGGGTGGTATTTCATAGATGCTAATTTTGATATTGGAAAGGCCATTCTATATTAATGACATGGGTTTATTTCTACGATGCTAAATATAAATCTCAGAAAATAATGCGCAAATCGGAAAAGAAATGCAAAATATGTCCTATGTTTCTCCTTCAAAGTACAAAGACCTCAATATTTGCTCATTGCAATTTTTCAAAGAAGTGTTCTTTTCAGGATTAAGATTGTACTCTATTAAAATTGGGCGTTTTGGGGGGGCGTAATGAACGGAAAGCGTTTAAGCGAAAACCTAAATTTTAAATAATTTTGATTGAATTCAAACCGAGAGAAACAATATTTGATTTACACCCACCTGAAAATCTCTCACCCCATGTTGTAGCGAGTAAACTCTGGGAAAAGATTTGTTACCCAAGTAAAGCTAAATTATCTGAGAGAAACATGTCACATGTGCCCTGTGCATTGCATTTCGCTATTTTCTTATCACATTATCTGAGGCGAAAAAAAACCTGAAAACGAAGCGTTTTCACCTGATATCCTTGAAAAAGTTTCTGCAAAACAAACCCACGCAATTGGTCTAAATGAATAACGTAACCAAATGTTCCTTGGCTAAAGTGGTGGATATTTGAAGATATCATGAAAATGATATTCCCCAATTTTCAAACATTAAGTCCATTACGATAAGTCTTCGTTTGAAATTTAATTCAAGATGAGAGAGCGTATAGAAGAAAGGAAACATTTGTTTGTTCATAAAGCCGTTTCAGAGAACACTCTGGAGAAAACGTCCCACGCAACAAATATGCAGTATGCTGTTCGTAAACATTTTTTCACGCGCGTTGTAAAATATTAAAAGGATAATAAACACAATAGTCTTTATTTTGCGTCGCATATCTGTTCCTGCATACTATTCCTCGAAACTAGCAGTTTTCCTCGATCTTCGTTCTCGGAAAACTGTTTGCGTTAGTTGAAACACATAAAGTTCGCGGACAAATATCCGTTCATATTTCGCCACAAATAGAGGCTATCGTTTATAAAATCTATTTAACCGATTACAAGTAGATGGTTCCTGCTCAAATTTCGCTGAAAAATTTTCTAAACCTTTTTCATTCGTTTCTGTTTTTCCCTCCTCCCCAGGTTATGGTCATGTGACGCCTTGCACAGATGCAGGCCGTATATTCTGCATCTTCTATGCCTTAGTTGGGATACCGCTGACCTGGCTCATGCTATCAACGCTAGCGCAATACATTAACGCGTGTATTGGCCGAGCTCTGGAATGTTGCTACGAACGAGTTCTTCGACGAAAACCGGTAGGGATTGGGATTAGGTCTGCAGCAATCACACTGGCGATTAGCGCGTCTATGATTTTAATCATTGCCTTGTTCGGATGTTACTGGGAGGGCTGGCGCTACCTTGATGGCGTCTATTTTGGATTTATAACATTAACAACAATTGGCTTTGGAGACTTTGTTCCTCTGCACCCGTCGCCTAATCGAGATCCCGAAGGATATAGGTGGCACGTACTAATGTTTACAGTCCTGAGTATTCTTTACTTCACTATCGGGTTAGCTATCGTGTCCAGCGTGTTGTTATCGATCAGAAACGCCATGGAAGAGAGATCTCTGTCTGGATTCCAAGTTCTAAAAGAACCAGAGGAAGACTGAGACCTTGTATAAATTTGAAGAAAGCGTAAGATACATCACAGAAAGAAAGTCACTAATTCAATGCTCCTCGTCACTCCTCAAGATCTGTAAAACACTCCAGAAATAGGTGCCATCGTCAAATGTCAATAATTTCAAATAGAATTAAAAATAATCGGCAACATCACGTTCATGAAACTTTGCTTTCTCTTTATTTTTGTGTCATATCCATTACTAGTTATTCTACATAAAACTCATCGTGAAAAAACATTTGTCCATCTTTTTTTCTATAATTCACTTAGGAAGAAAAATTTGGCTTCTGCTCAGCTTCAATTCAAGCTCATATACGATCTCAATTAACCTTCTGACCTCTAAGTGGGGCTAGCATCTAATTTCGCCTTGCAATATTACCCCTGACTTACACATTAAGTCACAAGCTTAATGGAAATGATCACTTACTAAAGAAGCTCTTGAAAACCGCATTCTCCTTGTTAGCACCTCAGGAAAAGTATGCAGAACAGTATGGAGAATATGCATACTGATGTTAAAGTATAAAGGGTTAAAGAATTGAAATTATACATGACAACAACTCCTTAATTCCCAAAGTTGACGATTTTGCCAAACAATGGTTTTCTTTGATTTCATTTGTTTCTCGGTATTATTTATTTCTTTTATCACTGAGTTTAACATCAATTCGTTAATTCAATTCATATGTTATTCATATCAATGTTTTCATTTAATGGTTATTTACGTACTGCTAGCTACTAAAAACGCCTCTAGTCATCTGAACAGGTTCGCGGTCACCATATCTATGATTACATTCTAGCATTCCGCTCTGTGATCGAGTGACTTACACATAAATGTATTCAGTATATACCACACAGGTGAATAATGTACTGATTGGCAAGTACCATTCACCTCTGTGAAGCTGACGGGACAAAATTACGTGTTAAGAGAGGATACACAAATTTTCTGGCTTATACTAAAACAGTTATTCGACTCATACTATGTGAAAGTGGTGGATATTTACTTCCACGTCGCCTATAACAATCCAGACTTTCTAAAGTCAGGATAAGCAGCTTGAACATTGTAAAGGCATCAAAAAAATGACACAATTGAAGGCACAAGGTTTACGGCTGTTCGTGATTGGTTGAATGTTATGGCGACACTGAAATTTTAGACCCTACTCAACTTTTATAAAATAATTATTATGAACTATAAAAATTATGGTTTCGATATGCAGATTAATTTCTTTAACCCGATGCTCACAATAATTTTCCAGGTCTAAATTTCCTGACGTTCATTGTATTGAATTTTATAAGTTAAAATTTCCCTTACATAACTAAAACAGCTCCGCGATCGGTTAAAATTGATCAACTGGGTCATAACACCAGTCTTTGCAACTAAAATGATATAAAATAACACTTCCACTACAATATAAATATAAAAATAGATAAAAGAGGGGATAAAAATTGCTGTCTTCGATCCAGGCTGGCCTTGACCACCGTATTCACCACAGGGACCTCCCTGATAGTGGAAGAACCAAAGAGACAAATTGGGAGACTTTTGTTGTTGACCTTTGACCATCGATCTCGCGCATGCGTAGCTAATTTGTCGCTACTAAACATCGAACACTATCGGCACCACAGCATTTCTTGTTACGGCTGCTAATGGTACTCGTTGGGTGAACTGTGGTCTCTTGTAAAATACTGGTTTTTCCATATCAAGGTCGTTAGACCTGTGAATATCAGAAAAAAGATGAAGTTATGGTTGATGCACTAGATCCCAAATCGAGCGCGTTCAAAGGCTAACCGAGTATATTCAGCAAATATACACTACGTTGCCGTACGTCTGTTTAGTGATAAATCACAGATGACGTGAAAATGTGGTGTCAACAAAAAAATGGCAAACGGAAGCCGAGTGTGTCACGGATAACGTCTTCTATATTCTCTCACAGTTCGAACCACGGCAAAATGGAATTTATTTGTTTTATAGGATAACAAAATAGGAATTTGTTAATTGGTGACGTCATATTTGCATATACCCTCCAAAAGATCACAAGAAATAACCTATCAAAATACGTTTGTAATTCAGCTTATTATTTAAATGATTGTGGATTGGAGGGGAAGTCCACTCTCACAGTATCATTTTCTGAATACCCCTTGCTATAAATGGTTACTAGAGTTTATCAGAGAAACGTTGCGAGATTCTGAGAGATAAACCAAATTAAAAAATAAAATTCCCTTTAAATAGGAGTCAAATTATCTCGTACGGCAAATAATTGGTTTTGAAACCAAATTTTTCGTCTCGCAACTTCTTTCAAAGTACCCAAGGACATGAGTGGCTACTGAAAAATTGTCGGGGGAACCTGTTGAAACTCTGGGAGGAAACCCGGCTGTCATTAAATTGAGGAATTACACGCCCTTTACGGAATATCGTAGCACTTTACGAATTCCAACTTAAATCATTGATGTTGTAGTTGCAAAATCCTCTTTAAAACAACAATGGGATTCAAAGATATAATGGTTCAAAATTATCAATTAAATAATTTAGTTCAGTGTAGCTATTTCATGTTTAAGCTTAAAAAAAGAAAGGAATTTTATAAAAATGTCCGTCGGACTTACCGCTAGTAATTACTCCAGCTTGTGGACGGAATGGGTGAGTCTGGGGGCGAGGAGAGCTTTGGTTTTCTCCTGTTTATTTAGTTGAGAAAAATGAATTTAAAATTTAATTTTTTTTAATAACCGAGTAACTGAAACTTTTTTTGGTCTACTTTTCGTTTAATACATTAGTTTTTTAGCATCAAAGTGAATCTCGAAAAACAAGGAAAGTAGCATGAGTAAAAAAGGTTTAACTCCAAAATGGTTCTTTATTCTAGTAGTTACTGCCACTTTGCTTTCAGTTGTTATGTTATGTTATCACCATCAATGTTTATTATGAACAGTTGGTTCCAAGGGCATCAGTGTGGATCTCTGACGCGATGCAGCATTCCCAAAAAAGGGTTTGGATTTATGCAAACAAACTTTATATCTTAAATTTCTTCAAGAATACAGAACCTAACTGGTTTGACTTGCAATTAGTGCGCGCGCGCTTTGAGTTTTTTTTAAATTTGAAAACACATCGTGAGCATTCACGTATGCAATTTTTTTTTTCTTTTTTTTGCGCGTTCAAGTGTTTTGGTCGATTACTCTTTAGAGCTTTATTCATCATGTTTTGGATTTAAGAGTTAACCGCGTTTGCATTTTGTGGTGTTTTTTGCCTGTTTTACGAAGAGTTTCAGTTACTGCTTCGCACATATTGCCTACAAGTGTTTTCCTTAATTGTTATTCTCCATACATTTATTTTTTGTCATTAAGTATATTTCTTTTGAATTGTTCATTCTATCCATTTTTGGGGTGTGTTGGCTGTGGATGCAAGTTCTTACAGTTCTTTAGAGGTTCAGAAAAATTGAGAAGTTATCTCCAAGTTGTTGCTTTAAAGGTCATTTTAAATGTTTATTGCAAGTAGAAAATTTCACGGCCCTTTCGTAAAGTTATGCGATTTGTATACTCTCGAAATAATGTCATTTTGTAGTTATAAATTCAGATTTACAACAAAGGAAAAAAAATTCAACGAGATTCAGCAAGTTTTCCTTCTCAGTAAGAGGGCGTATCAGTTAAGGCAACTGAGGCCCCTTCCGCTGCAATTTGAGTGCAAAGCGAAGTTTTCGTCCCAAATACTGATGACATTTCTCTTTCCACAGTATGTTTTGGTGTCGCTTTGAAAATAATTTCGACATCTTCAGCGCTACAAACGTGAACAACTGTAAGAAAAATTGTCCTTTCGGTTTATAAAAAGACAGTTCGAGTATGAAATGTGAGCAAAAAAAGATGATTTTTGTTTTCTAATTTATCCACAGAGTCACCAAGCCAAATTTTACATTTCTTTCGGATGTTTAATGTTGTGCGTGCGCTCACGCGCATGACAAGAGTGACGCCTTAACGGTTCGTGTGTATGACGTCATCAGACGCTTGATGTTTAAATTGCGCTTGTTTCTAAATTTGCGCTTCAAGAAATCTATTAGCAATACGCATCAAGGAAACCACTTTTGATGTGATTTGGTACACAAATACAAAACACATTTAAATTTTAAGCTGAGATGTCAGTGGAAACTTGTGACCGCGACGGAGAGGGTGGTGGATCAAAACGGATTTATGAGCAGATCAATGGCTTCACAGGTATTTATAAATATTGGTAGATTTCCGAGCCACTTTCAGTAGAACAGTAACGTCAATAAACCGAGAATGGCGATCATATACTCAGGTAAGGATGGTCAAATTTTGGTATATCTTTGTGGAAATCAGCCCTATATTTTTTGCAGTCCTGAAGAAACAGTCGATAAACTGGTACAAAAATAAGATTGATCAAAATGATGGTGTGAAAGAAAAATGAAATTCCTTTTCAAAGACGGCCCTTTTCAAGATTTTTTTAACTTTTTGTGTAAAAGTCCTTGATGTCTAAAAGAAAACATCTTACATTAATACATATGGTGATATTATTTTGACATGAAACTTACTGAAATAGCCGAACTGGTTCGAGAAACGATTTAAATGAACGATTCAAACTTTATGGATAATCTCTTGACTGTGACTTAAATGCAGTAAGCGCGTTTCAACTTTACACGTTTGTTTAGTTCCTAATACTTACCAGGAAAATTTCTTCTTGGGAAGCTTCGGGAATTTGTCAAACAGCCTCAGAGGGACTCCGTAGTTAGATGTACTTTCCTCTGAATACATATCATCGTCACCACTCTTCGCTCGTCGAAGATGCTTGGCCAGACGAACGCAGAGGATGATGGTAATTACCGAAAACAAAGCGATGACACCAACACACAGCCATAGGGCATTCTGGGAAGACACAACACACCTTAAAGTCTATGGTATATCTTTGTTTAGAATTTCATATACTATAGAGTGTGTTTGGCACCTTCTGAGAGAAATGAGCCGTAAAATTAGTTGTTCTGTATAGTTTGCTATAGTCCAAAGAAAAAAACTCTCCCCGTTATAGTTACAGGTTACTTGAGCAAAGAAATTTCACACGGCCTGTTTCCCTCACTAGAGGTTTACCACTCGGTAATTCTAATGCGTTGACATCACAGTGAGA